GGCGGCGGTAGAGAGGAGTAGCCAGGGCCCGTAGATACTTAGATGGAGTTAATACAAATTTCAGGAAGTGGATTGAGGTGGAGGAAAGAAACAGTAAAGATGGATCTCAGGTTTTGATAGTACATGAGTAGAAAAAAACCCTCATTACTTTCTTATCTTGGTTTGGTTGAAGTCGGCCTGGAGATCTCAGGGACTCAAAATTTCAGTGGTTCATTGTGACTTGGAGACTGCGTCCAGTTTTTTTGTTGCCATCACCATGCCACAAATCGAACACTATAAATGCTATGGGTATCATTTGGATTACCATGCGAAAAAGAGAAGAGTCGAGAGGCTCATGCATGTTCAAAAAATGGCAAAAGAGATCATTGGTCTGAAGGGCCAAGCTCTACTATAAGCAGCGTCATGTTGAGAAAATACAAATGAAAAAGACTATCAAGATGCATCAAACAAAAAGAATGATGAGAAGATTCCACAAGATGCAGTGCCTGCCTACCTGCTGGACAGAGTGACAGTCCTGAGTTAAAGAGCTATCCATTATGATTAAACAAAAACTAAAAGACAAAGTGGGAAAATGGGAAGCCCCTCTCTCTGCCCGAAGTCCATGCCTAGGGGGAAACTGAAGAAGTAAAGGTTATTTGCACAGGAAGAACAGGAAAGAGAGAAGGATGGTTACTAAAGTCTGCTTTGTTGGAGGTTGCTTTACTTGAAACAATTGAAATGTGAAAGATTCATCAGACCGATGGACTTGTGTTTCAAGAACGTCCCTGTTACCCTGAATTTAGAGCCACTTCTTGCTTAGCAATACTTGGTGTAAAGAAGAACCCCTGTCACCACTGTGTGCAACGGTGGCGTTAATACCAAAGGTACTGCCATTGAAGTGCATGAGTTAGCTGGGTCTTGCGACACAAGGTGATTTGAGGGAAATAACTCGGGTTGGCAACAATCCTGAAAAATGATAGGTGCATAGTTGCAGTTTTACTGGTTTGATGGCAGTTTCATGCATGACTTCTCTTTATTTCTGAAGAAGACAAAGCAATCAGGAAAGCCACCATTATTACCCTGTGTTTCTGAGTCCCACCCAACAATTTACATGTCTCAAGTAAACCAGAGAACTACTTATAAGAAAAACAAACCATTAAAATGACCCCATTGTAAAAGAAACAAAAACCCCTCACTGCTGTCAAGTCAACGCTGACTCCCCCTGACCGTACAGGACAGGGTAAGCCTGCCCCAGTGAGCTTCTAAGGCTTGTCCCCAGGGCTCCTTTACATGAAGGTAGCTGACTGAGGTGTAGAGGAGGGAGATAGATAATGACTACATTTTGAGTGTTTAAGGAGCCCTGGTTGCAGTCTCAGGTGATGATGGAACTGGTGACAGCAAGATCCTCTGGCTCAAACTCCCCAGCCACTCCGAGAGAGACAAATGACACTATCGGCTCTTGAAGATTAATAGCCCTGTAAACCCCATACGTGATCGCAATGAGGTACAGTCCACTGGATGGCAGAGGGTTTTTTTTTGTTTGTTTGTTTTGAATGTTTATTTCTTGTCAGATAAATGTTCTGACTACTTTAGATACATTGTTATTTTTATAATACTCCTATAGATTGAGTATTTCTATATTTTATAGACGAAGCTGGCGTTAGACTGAGTGGTTTTCTTTGGCCCCATGTTAAGAACAATGGATAATTATGAGTTTTATAAATCTAGGTATAAAAGTGTAGAGCTTTTAATGCATGTTGCCCAATGATCATTTGTTTTCTCTTATTTTGCTCTCAAAATTTCTTTCAGCCAACGTTTAAAAGACTCAACTATGGCCGACAACAGTTTATTAGCATCTAATGGGAGGACTAGCTTGGCTGACTCTTCAATTTTTGATTCTAAAATTACCGAAACATCCAAGGAAAACTTATTTATTGGATCAGCATATGTTGAAGGTAAACTTATGCCTTAAAATATGGATCTTTCAGAATATATAAACTGGAAATTGACTAAAGATTTTCCTGTAATGCCAACTAGGGTATAGGTACGTAAGCATTTAATAGACTACACAATGAAGATTTTTTTATTCTCATTTGGATTAATGCTTCTCTTTGAAGACAGAGGCAGTTTGTCAGTAGATTTTGCTTTTTCTGAATGTAGGGGTAAACATTTCTGCATATACCTGCCAGTAACTTTGTAAACTAGGCTTCATTCATTGTAAGTAGTGAGGTGGAGAACCACTTCTTTTCTTACCCCCTTATGAGTGGGCCTTTTCAAAAGTAAGCACTCTTGACTCCGGAGTGTCACTATGCATTGTTGTGAATGATTTATTTATTTTTGGTTAGAAAGCTAATCCTTGTATATCCCACTATAATACCTAGAGTAAATAAAAAAATATTGCTACTAGGGTTCGAATTCATACAGGCACAGGTTTATTCCAAACATAATGTGTTAAACATGTCTGCAATCTGAATGATTGCAGTCAAGGTCTGTCAGCAGCACGCTTATTCTTGGTAGGGTGCCTTGAAAAAAATGGAATCAAACTAGTTACCTTCAAAGGAGATCTGCTACACCAGTTCAATTCAAAGCAGAGATCAGCTCAGGAGACTATGGAGACTTTTTTTTTCCCCATTAAGCAATTCTTTTTTATTTTTTTAATCGTTTTAGTAGGGGCTCATACAACTCTATCACAATCCATACATCAATTGTGGAAAACGCATTTGTACATTCATTGCCCTCATCATTCTCAAAACATTTGCTCTCCACTTAAGCCCCCGCCCTGCATTAGGTCCTCATTTTTCCGCTCCCCTCTCCCTCATGAGCCCTTGATAATATTACATTTTTATTTTGTCATATCTTGCCCTGTCCGACATCTATGGAGACTTTTTTGGGTTCCAAGTGGGTAATCTTGATAATTTTCTTGAATAACACGGGAATTACAGAGCTGATTATACAGTTTTAGGAAAGTGGAAAACGACACTGGTGAGAAAAAGGCAAGGAAAGTTGGGCTGAAGATTTTTTTTTTCCCATCATGAGAATATATCTGTTTACTCAAGGTAGCAAGGACTGTCTTAGGAGAATCTTGTTCGGAAACCTTATCCCATCTACCACACAGCCCAGATCTTGCCTTTCAGATTTCTTTTTGTTCTCCAAACTCAAAGGACATTTAAGAAGAATACAATTTGAGTCTAAGAAATGCCCAAACTGCCATTTTGTCCTGACATAAATCAAAGAGCCCAGAATTCTTTTTCTTTCTTTTTGAACAGTTTTATTGGCACCTAATCCACATAGCATACAATTCAATAGTTCAATCATAGGAAGAGAATTATACAACCATTACCACAATCCATTTTGAACAGTTCCCCCACCCTTAGTTAAATCACCTTTAAAATGAGTTGTGTAATCACAGTCAGTTCTAGTGCTGCCTCCACCCTCCTGCCTTCATTGTTTACTCCCGAAATCCCCTTATCCTCCCTATCTTCCGCCCCCCTCCCTTATACCCCCTAGAAACCCTCCCATCAGTTATTATCTATGTATAGTAACTCCTTCAACCACAGAATTCCTTGGAGAATTAGAGACTCTGAAACATTGCCTTCAGAAGTATACAGACGAAGGATATGTTAAGAAATATAGTGTCACATCTTGATATTTTTACTTAATAAAGATTTCTATGATTTTGTAAGCAGTGGGGGAATCTTGCGAAGGGACATTTGGATATTTATAACAACATTCTTGGGCCATACAAAATTATCAACTTATTTGGTCAAGCATTTAATTCCCTCACCCCTAATGGGATGACTGGAACTGATGAGGTGTGTGATTTCTTGGACCCTATAGAATCCATGGGCTGAATATTCCTCACCCCTGCTCTAAAGTAATATAGGGCCAAATATTTTTCTTCTAAGTAGGAAACTAAGTCAACTTTGAGGAATTTTAGAAAGCAATCTTAAAGATAGATGCTATGCTATATAAGACCAGAAAAGGGATTAGGAATTACTTGATTTAATATTAATAGTTCACAAACATATTTAAATTTTAACAGAAGAAATGCCTCAGATTGAAACACGGGTGATACTGGTTCAAGAAGCTGGAAAGCAAGAAGACCTTACAAAGGCCATTCAGGTATGGAGTTTTGGTTTTAAGTTAAAAATATATATTTTTCTTTTAAACGTATTTGTCTTCCATCACTAAATAAGTTTTAGGTTCCTTAATCTCATACTTAAGTCTCTTTCCACAGACTATTAAAATAATGGAAGTCCCTGTTATAAAGATAAAAGAAAGTCCTGGAAAATCGGATGAAAAATTAATTAAAAGTATTATTAATATGGTAGGTCAAGCATCTCATTGCATGTGGCATGCGGCACCTCTCTTAATTATATTATTACACTTCATGGTGAATGGATCTAAATGATCACAAAAGTGTATTTTGTGCACTAACATTCTTTTGAATAGAAATTATGATTGTTTAACAATTTGGGTATATCTGAAACCTAAGACTAGCATATATTATAATTTATATTTATAAGTATATGTGCTCTTTAAGCGCTTTACTATCTTTTTTCTCATTAACTTGTGTAGTATAAATTCTTAATCTATTTCCAAAGTTAAAAATCAAAATTGACCATCATTAGGTATTTTGTGTCAGCATATTGCAGAATCTACTTATTTCTTTATACCAGTCTTGCAAATAAAATCCAAATAATTTATTGGTCCATTAAGGATTTTCTTTTAAATGGTTTATTCTTTTATACACAGGATCATGTAAGTACTTAAGTATCGTATCTTCATTCTTCGTTGATATATACTATAATGTTAATATAGTCACCACCTTTTTATAGCGTATGCTTGTCAAGCCTGTAGCCACCTACAACACATTCCACATTGCTCCAGTTCCCTCATGAATAATTAAATGATTACCTTAATCTATATCTTTTTCAAAATAGTAAGTGCTATGTTTATGTTCCTTGTTTTTCTTAAGGTAGTAAATTTATGTGAATGACATCTTTCTTCGTTAGAAGAAATAAAAGTGGATATAATTTAAGTATTGCCAAAATGAATGTACTTAAATATTTCAATAAATTTCTATGCATACTAAATGATTTACATAAGTCGAAAGTGTATGTCTTTATAAACTTTCCAAATTTAAGATCTTAATATAGATGAAGAAATATATAAATAAATATAAATTTAAAAAATTAAAGACAAATATTTAGTGTGATGCTAATTATTGTATAATTTAAAACTTAAGTTCTATATAAATATAAAGTATTTAAAATTTTGATTTTAAATAATGTCTAATTAAATCTTCAGCCTTAGAGTTACATGTTAATATCTATACTATAAAACTAATTTTTATTTCTAATAACTACCATGAAAAAAATCAAGGAAATTAAAGTACCCTTTGTAAAGATGGAATCAGTGGAAGAATTTGAATGTTTGGATTCTCCAGAATTTGAAAATGTATTCATAGTCATGGACTTTCAGGATCCTGTCTTTAATCACCTACATAAAGCTGATTGCAGAATTATTGGACCACCAGTTATATTAAATTGTGCACAAAAAGGAGAGGTAAGAAATAATTTATTTTGATAAATAAGTCATTTATTTTGACTTTTCAAAGTTACATCTTTGTGAATTTCATAAAATTTGTTTTAAAATGACATTACTTTGTTTTTTACATTATTTTTTTGAATCTGAAGTATTTAGAGTAGAAATAGTACTGACTACTGTAATCTAAATCTTTATTCTTATTGTAATGTTTACTATTGGGGAAAACCTAAGGACTTTGAAAATTATAATGCACTTACCTGCTATTTATTTAAACATACCTTTAAACTTTATCAAGAAACCCTGGTGTCATAGAAGGTTATGTGTTGTGCTGCTAATCGCAAGGTTAGCAATTTGAATCCAGCAACCGTTCATAGGAGAAAGATGAGGATTTTTGTTGCCTGAAATTAACAGGCTTGGAAAGCCCACAAGGGCAGTTCTGCTCTGTCTGTGGGGTCACTAGGAGTAAGAATTGACTCAAGGGCCATGAGTTTACTCAGTTTTTAAACCTCTTTCAATAACCTAAATTGGGAGCACTTAAAAAAGTCTATAGTATCTAAAACCTTTGCTTGTAGTAAATATTTAAATGGAACAAATAATATTTAAATTGGAATAAAAATTTTGATATAAATATCTTATTTCTGTTAAATTTGCCAGTAATAAACTGATTACCTGAATATAAGGTATGAGTTGTAAATTATGTACCTATGTATATGCTATGGGATAATACTTTGTAAAACTTTATGCTGTTTTGCTATTTTTCGTTGTATATTTTAAAATGTTAGTAAATCTTTGGCAAGGGCAGATATATTTAGCTCAGGAAAAATGCATTCTGTTGTTTATACACAAAACTGACAGATTTAAAATTGTGTGTTTCAGCCATTGCCTTTTTCATATCGCCCACTCTATTGTACAAGTATGATGAATCTGGTGCTTTGCTTTACTGGGTTTAGGAAGAAAGAAGAACTAGTAAGTATTTCAAAACGTTCTATTAAACTAATATTTGGCAACAAAATAAAATTGACAATATTTTAAAACATAATTTTAGTTGTATCTTGTTTTTGTTTGAAAATATTGAAGGAGAAAATATTCTAGATATACATACCAGTTAATGAATTGGAAAAAAAAAGGTATATAGAGTATCATGTTTCAGTGATGATGACTGGCATCTGTGTTATTTTATTTTTTAATGAAAGGTTAGAAATTGTGTGGTTGTGTTTACACATTGTTTGCACAATTTGGTTAGGTGGCAGCAGCAGCGATAACGAAGGGCCTCATACACAGAAACGTGAAGTGTATGGTGCTAACTGAAAGAGAAGTTAGGGGACGAATGTTTACATGTGCGAAGAGTTTTGATATAGTTCAACCTGATATAAGTAAAAGTAATATATGTAGACAGTACAAAAGTCAATTATCTAGTAACTTTAGTTTTTATGAAGAACTTTTCTAAGCTTACCTCTCTTATTTTGCTTGTGTTAGTACAACAAATGAATTTTTCCTTTATTATTTTGAGATAAAATAGGAGATATTCAGTAAATCCTTAAATGAATTGCAAATGTTTTAAATAAATGTCTTCAAATTAACAATGAAGTCACTGTTACCTGGTTTGTTTGTTTTGTTTTTGAGGTCAGATTGGTGACGCTGGTCCATCATATGGGTGGAGTTATTCGAAAAGATTTTAATTCAAAAGTTACACATTTGGTGGCAAATTGTACACAAGGAGAAAAGTTTAGGGTATGTATGTATTTTTATGTTTCAATAACGCATTAACGTGGGATGGGTTAGATAATAGGAATCTATCTCTCCCACAGTTGGGATCAGAAATTACAATTTGGTATGATTGGCACCTTGGTAGTGTGGCTGGTTACACATTAGCCTGCTAATCACAAGGTTGTGAGCTGCTCCGGGAGACAAAAATGAGGCTTTCTGCTCCCATACAGATTTACAGCCTTGGAAACACCAGGGACAATTGTATTCTGCTTACTGGGGTTGCTATGAGTAGTAATAGACTTAATGGTAGTGAGATTTCTAAAAAAAATTTTTTTACAGCTTTTATTGCAGTCCTTGGATTATGAGTATCTTAAATACAGCTCCTACTTGCTCATTAAGCAGGGTTTGAACTGATTTAAGTTGTGCTGTAATGACTGTTAAAGCTAAATAGGAATAGACTTGAATCATTACAATTTGGGTGATTTGTGACGAGGGGGATGAATTACAAGCTGGACGTCTAGAACAGGAGACGTAGAATAGGGACAGTGAGCACTTGCACACCACGTTTTTGTGTGGTTCGGTTGGCTGTCGTTTCTGAGTGGGGCAGCACTTTGTCTCAAAATCTGCTCTATGTTCATATAAATTTGCCCTAACTGAAATGATTGAACCTAACCCTACTTGCAAGAAATTCATTGTCACAATCACTTGCATAACAACATAACAACACCGAGCATTTTCTGACACTAAAAAGTAAGGCTAAATAAGGATGTTATGTACCATTCTGAGCTGACACAAATCCTTCAATATACAGGAATGCATTAGTTTGTAACCCAAGGGTTGCCTGTAGTAAAATATTTAAATCCTGGGAGTGTGGTTCTTCAGATTTGAACAGGGTCTTGAACCAGCTTTGTGAATCATGATTGATGAAACAAACCAGAATGCATTCGAATTTGTAAAATTGTGGGTGTGTTGGTATGATAAACAGATGGAAAAATTGCAAGTCAGTGCCATACTACCGTTTCCTCAAAAGTAAGACATCCCTCAAAGATAAGACTTACTTACAGTTTTGCCTCCTGCTGAAATATAAGGCATTCCCCCGAAAATAAGACCTCCCTGAAAATAAGGCCCCCACAGACTACTGTAACTCTGGACCTTAGCAGCGGGCGCCACTGTGCAGCTCACCATTGGCCACAGCGCAGCCGGAACAGACAGGAATGCGAGGTCTCTTAATAAAACAAGTAACAATAAATGTGTACCGTATTCTTCTTCATGGAAAAAATAAGACATCCCCTGAAAATAAGACCTAGCGCATCTTTGGGAGCAAAAATTAATATAAGACACTGTCTTATTTTCGGGGAAACAGGGTAGAAACATAATCTCCTTTAAAAAAAAAAGGGTAGACTCTGTTGCATAGCAACCAATGGCTCAGTCAGAAACAGTGGTCCCCAGCTCAATGATAATGGCTGGCCATGTAGCTTTGACTGTGTGTTATTTTCCGCAGTCCTAACATAGTCTCTCAAGCCAGGCTCTCAAAAAGGTCTTCCCTTGTCCCCCATTTCAGGACTTCAACCCATAATTCTGTTTCAGTTGTTTTTTGCTTAGTTGGTTCTGCCTGAACCAGTTAGAACAGGTTCAGAGGCTTTCTTTTTAAGGAGGTCATAGAATGTGAGATAGGTTCTGAAAAACAAGTAGAATTGTAGAATTATTGCAGTTAGGTTAATATTAATAGCAAGAATTCCATGACTTGTTGAATAAGGGGGCCAGATGGTAATGAGAGCAGATATTTTACTCTGACTAGGTATTCTTTAAAAGACCTGAGCTGTGTTTTTAGAAAGTATTTCTATGAGTTGTCTTCATGAAAATTAAAAAAAATAAAAGAACATTGATTAAGATTGAAATCTAGATAGTTTATAAATTGATATTTTGTCATATCTTGCCCTGTCCGACGTCTCCCTTCACCCACTTTTCGGTTGTCTGTCCCCCAGGGAGGAGGTCACATATAGTTCCTTGTAATCGGTTCCCTCTTTCCTACCCATTCTCCCTTTACCCTCCCTGTTTTGCCACTCACCCCACTGGTCCTGTAGGGCTCATCTGCCCTGGATTCCCTGGATTTTAAGTTCCTATCTGTACCAGTGTACATCCTCTGGTCTAGCCAGACTTGCAAGGTCGAATTCGAGTCATGGTAGTGGGAGCGGGGAGGAAACATTTAGGAATTAGAGGAAAGTTGTATTTTTCATCATTGTTACATCGCACCCTGACTGGCTCATCTCCTCCCCTAGACCCCTCTGCAAGGGAATCTTCAGTAGCCTACTAATGGGCTTTGGATCTCCACTCCAGGCTCATGAGGGAGGGGGGAGCGGGGAGGGAGGGGAAAAATGAGAACCTAATGTCGGGGGTTTAAGTGGAGAGAAAATGTTTTGAGAATGATGTACAAATGCGCTTTACACAATTGATGTGTGTATGGATTGCGATAACAGTTGTATGAGGCCCTAATAAAAAGTTAAAAAAAAAAAGATTGAAATTTAAATTTAAGATTACACTTAGAATTTTAGGAAGAGTTTACCACTTTATTCTGCCCTCCTTCACAAACTATTTATATAGCAAATAGAACTTTTAGGGGAATACTGAACTCCTGGGATTATTTTTAACCAACCCCAAATCTAAGTTGTTAGTGACTTAATTAGATATTTATCTGTAGTGTTGTCTTTGAGTCAATACTTTCAAGGAAGAAAGCATCAAGAAAAACTAGGAACTTTGTTAACGTCAGATATGTATTTAAAATAAGGGAACAGTTTGAAAATCTTGGAACTTTGATTTTTCTTGTACATTTTAAGTTTTATTGTCATTTAATTCATATATATTAATATAATTCAATGGCTTAAGGCAACTTTAAAAAATTATTTTAATCTTAGTTTTTCTAATTGTTAATTTTTCTTATAAATCAGGCATGATGATCTAAAACTTCAAGATATATAGGTATCTATGTATAATAACATACCTATATGTTATTCTAAAACTAATGTTTCTTAAAATTTCTATGAATGCAATTATTTAACATCGTAATGTTTGTAATTTTAGGTTGCTGTGAGCTTGGGTACACCGATTATGAAGCCTGAATGGATTTATAAAGCTTGGGAAAGGAGAAATGAACAGTAAGTATTAAGACATTCAGTTATTATGTGAATTAAACAGTGGTGTGTTTTAGAGATAAGTTCATATATCAAAATTTTAAATTCATAGATTATATAGGAAGAAAATGAATTCAGTCTTTGGGTAGACTAGGTAATAAATTCCAGGAGATGTACTACAAAGCTTATTGAAAATTGAAGTTTACTGACATCTGTGGTACATGTGCATTATGCTTTATGAGATCAATCTTAACTAGATACTGGCTGTTTCATAAAGCATAATGTACACGCACCACAGATGTCAGTGAACTTTTTATATTTGGTTGCATTTTAATTGGTTGTTGTTTCCAACACATGATTCCTTGATATTTCTCTTCATTGTAATTTAAGATCTCATAACTGTAAACCCAAAAAGTACCATATTGCCATTTAGTTCAACCTGACTCATCGTGACCCTATCAGACAGAGTAGAACTGTCTCTGTGAGTTTCGAAGGTGTAAATTTTTGTGGGAGAGGAAAGCCTCATCTTTCTCCCAAGGAGTGGCTGGTGGTTTCAAACTGCCAACCACATGGTAATCCAGTTCGCCATAAACCAGGGGTGCCTACTAAAATTCAAGATTTGAACATTTATGTAAAGAATATCTATGAGTGGATGAAATGTCAATAAAACTATTAAAGGCAAAAGAATAGATGGCTGAATTTTTTCAGAAGTTTCTTCTGGGAGGGCTTGAGAACAGTCAGCTTTTCCTTTTAGTGAGGATTATTTTCCAGATAAGGAAAATATTTTCAATAAGTGAAATATGGTAGGATCCTTGGGAATTACTATACCTTTGTAAAATCATTTACCTAACTTCCTTGAATTCAAGTTTAACTTGCTTTACAAGAGTGTATTTTTTTCCTCAAGGGATTTTTGTGCAGCAGTTGATAACTTTAAAAATGAATATAAAGTTCCTCCATTTCAAGATTGCATTTTAAGTTTCTTGGGATTTTCAAATGAAGAGAAAATCAATATGGAAGAAATGACTGAAATGCAAGGTAGAATTTATCATAATTTAGAAGTCATATAATTTATCCACTAGGCCAATTTAATAATTTCCTTGTGAATTTGACCCATTAAAATTTGGATTTGGAGGTAGCTAGCATATTTCACTTATGTTCGCATGCCTTCCGCTGTAGGAGGCAACCATTTACCAGTTGGAGATGAAAGATGCACTCACCTTATAGTTGAAGAGAATGTAGTAAAAGAACTTCCGTTTGAACCTTCAGAGAAACTTTACGTTGTTAAGCAAGAAGTGAGTAATTCTAAAACTAGATATATGTTTTTAAAACATTATTTATAGCTTTTTTTATATGGCAGAATTTAAATTTTTAATGAAATTGTTCTTTCTCTACTAGTGGTTTTGGGGAAGCATTCAAATGGATGCCCGAGCTGGAGAAACTATGTATTTGTATGAAAAGGTATGCATTTTCTACCCTTAATATTAGTTCTGTGAACTGAATTATAAAAAGATAATATTTTCTACACAGAGGTAGAGAGCATGACATAATTAACATTTATGACATCTTTTAATTCATGTTCAGTCTCAGAATTAAAAAAATAATTTTTGCATGTAAGTAATATTTACAGCCTAAGTAGACTTACGTGAACCTGTTCAATATGATAAGACAGAGTGGGACTGCTCAAAGGGCTGGAAACCTTGCTGAAGCCGACTGCCGCATTTTCTCATGGAGTAGCTGGTAGGTTCGAACTACGAACCACTGTGACCACTACAGTCCAAACCAGTGCCTTGGATGCTGACTCATAGTGACTCATGGGATAAGCAGAGTGCCTTTCTGTTCTTCAGCAGTGCAGCTGGTAGGTTAGAATTGCCAATCTTGTGATTAGCAGCCTAACACTTTTACCAGAACTCCATAGCTAGCTTACTATTTGCTAATGTATTTTAGGTAACTTCATTCATTTTGTGAAATTAAAGCAGGAATGAAGAGTAAATAATTATTAACAGAATGCAATAAGGGCATTCACAGCAGGTCAGAGAGTTGGAGAGAGGCATGGAAGTTTTAAGGAGGACGATAAGGTCGCTGTGAGTCGGCATTGGCTCGATGGCAGTGAGTTGAGTTTAAAGTAGTAGGTACTTTAGTATGGCTTCTGAAGGGAGAGGGTAAAATAGAAGACAAACAGATAAAGCTTAAAGGGACAAAATTAAGAAGTTATCTATTACTGTTTGCATTTTATCCTTTAATTGCTGAGAAGCCACTTAAGGCTTTTAAGGGGAGTGATGTCATTAAAAGGACGACCTTAGTAGTAGAATGTAGACAAAGGAAATGTAGCCTTTATATTGGATCTTGGTGAGGAGAGGCATATTCATGGAATAAGGAATAGGAATAGGCTTTAAGAGACCATTATTTCAACTTGAGATTTAATACAATGTGTAGAGTAGGATATCAAGGATGAAATACAGCTTGATGATGTATTCACAAAATCTAAAAAAGGTGCCATGTGCTCTTCCAGACTGCCCTTTTTTGAATGTAACATTTTAACACAGTTGAAAGTGTACTTTACAATTAGGGAGACAGCTCTTAAAAGTATGTGTTAATAAATCTTGGAGAGCATGTCAAGACACTGCAAAATGCTGGGGATGAAGTGAACAAGATAAATCTACATGGTCCCTGCCCTTGTGGAGTTCATAGTACAGTAGGCAGTGAACTAGTGCACAGATAACGACGATAGTGCTGTGAAGAATGTGAACGAGGTGCTTGGGGTTAGGCAATTATCGATAGGTTCTCTAAACTAGTTTTATGAAGCTTCTGAATTGTCTGGCAGTGTTGGGTTTTAAATTATGGTGCAAATTTCAGGTTTTGTTAGACACAAAAGCATATTTTTCTCTTGTTTCTATCTCATTAAAGAATCATAGAAGTAAAATTGAGTTTTTGTGTTTTTGATTGCAGGCTAATACTCCTGAGCTCAAGAAATCAGTGTCCCTCCTGTCTCTAAATACCCCAAACAGCAATCGTAAAAGACGCCGTTTAAAAGATACGCTTGCTCAGCTGTCAAGAGAGACAGACATGTCCCCTTTCCCTCCTCGTAAACGCCCATCTGCTGAACATTCCGTTTCTATTGGATCACTTCTAGATACTTCCAATACACCAGATTCAAGCCTAAATTATGGAGGTAATTCACATTTCAGAAAAGTTGATATTTAAAATTTAACGGCATGAAATGATCGTTGATAGAGAAAATTCTCTATAGTGACTGAAAAATTGTTAATTGTCTTTGTTCTGAGAAGAAAGACTCATGAAAAGTTAAGAATAACGATGCTTCCATTTAATGACTGCTTGCAATATGCTACATGATTTTTATACTGTTTATTAAGTAGGTTTTATTTTCCTTATTTTAGGTCCGTGTAGACTGAGCTACATGGGCATTAATTGTAAATGTATAGAGTTTGAATATGCACTTTACAGCCTGAAAGGAAGAAAAGGAAAAAAGATTGTGAAGTAGTAGGAATAGCAAAAGATCATTAAAAGACAGGAACAAAAGAAAAGATCAGCATGGATGTCAGAAGAGACTCTGAAACTTGTTCTAAATCCTAGAGTAACTAAGGCAAAAGGGAGAAATGAGGTAAAAAAGCTGAATAGAAAACTTTAAAGTACAACTCGAGAAGACAAAGTTAAATATTCTCATGAAATGTGCAAAGTCAGAAAACAGAAATGGAAGAACATGCTAAGCATATCTTAAACTGAAAGAACTGATGAAAAAAATTCAAGCCTCAAGTTGGAATAATAAAAAAAATTCCATAAACAAAAATATTGATCGATGGCAGGAAGCATCAAAAGAAGGAGGAAAGAAGACAGTTCATGTACCAAAAAGAATTAGTTGACATCCAACCATTTCAAAAGGTAGCATATTATGAGGAACCAAGTACTAAAGAAGTTCAGGCTGCACTGAAAGTATTAATAAGTAATAATAAAAAGGTATTAATAAGTAATAATAAAATGTATTATTATTAAGAACCAAGTACTAAAGGAAGAAGTTCAGGCTGCACTGAAAGTATTAGCTTTCTAACTTCTGGTGATTCCTGGCAATCTTCAGCATTCCTTAGATTATAAATACATCACTCCAATCTCTGCCTCTGTCATCACATGGATGCCTCCCACCTATATTTCTTTCTATATATCTTATTTTTATATAAGGATTCCAGTCATTGCATTAGGGTCTACACTAGTGCAATATGACCTCATAGTAACTAATAGCATCTTTAAAGACTTTGCTTCTAAACAGACTCACATTTGCAGGTTCTTCCTGTTAGAATTTAAGTATATCTTTTTAGTGGACAAAATTCGATGGAAAGATGAACTTCCTGGGATTAGGACCATAGTCTTGGGACACCAAGTTCAGTTGGCATAGCACAGTTCACAAAAGCACTATTGGACATCCTATTTCGGTGAGGAGTCTCAAAGGCTTGCGAGGCACCCTCTCATGTGCAGCTATTGGTTTTTCCCTTTCTGGAGTAAAGAAGAGTGAGGAAAATCAAAGATACATGGAAACCATGAGTGCAGAGGACTGATGCATCATGGGAACCCCAGCCTCTTCAATGATGGGACTAGATGGTGCTCGGCTCCCACTGCTGACCGCTCTGAAAGGGACTGTAGTCAATGTTCTCTAACAAAACATATGAGTTGTTGAAATCAAAACCAATTTGCTATGTAAAATTTCACCCAAATTACAACAATTAAAAAAGAATGATCTTGACATTCTATAGATTAGTAATGCCTATCAATTTGTACTTAGTGGTATTTTTTTGGTGATCATATTTTACTGACCTTATGAGAAATTTTACATCAATAAGAATTTATTTGGTGGTATTTTTAGATACATATTTTAAACCACTCAAATCATATTTAGGCTTGAAGGATAAAGGATATGGAAAGATTTTGTTTGTTTTTGTAAGGGAACATACTATATATATTACACAAAATGAAATCAATAATATTCTGCTAATATTCAATAGTATATTTGTAAGTATCCCTCCCTGTTAATTTCTTTAAAATTTGGTGCACATATCTGGCTTCCATTTATTTTTCTTCTCTTACCTTTCAGAAACACCGAAGTCTTGTTCTAAGTCTTCTAAAACTTCCACTCCAGTTCCTCCCAAGCAGCCAGCGAGGTGGCAAGTTGCAAAAGAGCTCTATCAGACTGAGAGTAATTATGTAACTATCTTGGCAACAATTATTCAGGTAAGTGTGAGTGTAGTTTCAAAGTGATCTCTAATATTCCTGAGTAAAACTATGGAAACATTTTATTTTTAACCAAAAAACATAAGCATAGCATTTGAACATATAAGGGTGCATCAAAAAATTGATGGAATTTAAAGATCGTAGGAGTTTTCCGCAAACAGTGAAGTGCCCTCATAGCTATTAAACATGAAATGTATGACTAAAACAGCTGTTAAAGGAATGGCATAATTGTATTAATACCTTATTCATCAACTTGTTTTAGGCAATAAGGTATGATATAAACAATACCATTTTTATTATAATGATTTTTAAGACAGAGCAATCCTCAGTAGATGATCACTGTTTAATTCAGAATATTGCAAATTCTCTTGCATTTACTTTTGGAGGTGGTAGATACTTTATCTGAAATAGTGTTTTCGAATGAGAGCTTTATTGAGTACTATATGTATGTGAAGAATATTGTCTAAACAATGGCAACGAAGCATAACTATGGATGTTTGTGACTTTCTAGTAACTTGTCAGGTTTTCTTAAAATTATTTTTAGGCATTATCACCATTAGCCTACTGATTATCAGCATTAACGCTTACTTTAACATTTCTGAACAGTAATTCTAATGGAAATTGCGGAGGACATTAAAGATGAAGTTCGAATTCAAGGTTCTGAAAAACACTATGACGGGATATAAATTTTGTATCTTTAGTAGAAGGAATAAACTTGCTTAAGGCAGTAAAGGAGACAGCGACATAATATCAGGAAAATGAAATTGATTCCAGCAATCATATCTTGGAATAGAAGAATGATTGGAAGCATCTAATTTGGATTTAGTTTTTAATTAGAGTTCAATCTAATAGTCTTTGATTGCTATACCACTAATAGACACATGGATAAAAAAATTGAAATATCTTTCTTAGTGGTCATGAAGAGGTTATTCTTTCTGTATATTTTTTTAGCATTTTATTGTGGTTTGGGTGGAAGTTTACCGAGTGAGCACTCAATGAAACAGCACTCTCACGTCCTTCCTGTTGTAGTTCGAGTGCCTTCCAAACTCAGGGGCTCCTCTTCTGGCACTGTATCAGGCCATGCTCTACTAGCTAGCTTTTCCGAAGTATGCAGCTTCTCTCTTCGTAATCTAATTTTAGTCTGGAGAGTCTGCGGAAACCTGGTCGCCATTGGTGACCCTGCTGGTAGTATTTGGAATTCCAGTATCATAGTAACTGGAAAACCGCTGCAGTATAATAAACTGACCTGCAAATGGTAGACTAAAATCATAGAAACCTTCTTTGAACATGTGTGTCCCTGAAGGCAGTGTTTCCATTCCTAAACCTTCTTCAAAGAGTTCTATGTTCTTTGATTTATGTAAAAATGAAAGTTTAGGCATCTTCCAGGGACACAGATTGTGGTCCTTTGACATGTCCTTGAGTTTTGGCACAATAAGTCTGAAGGTGCATGATCAGGGTTGCAGGGTGGATAGGATAAGGTTTTCCAGTGAGATTCTCATGACAGCCTTTGCTACTTCTGAAGACATAGCAGGTGCGTTTTGATGGAAAATCTTTCTTGCAGCTTTGCTGGCATTTTTCTCAGGCACAGCTTTAAACTTCCTCCTAATATGCCCTCATGATAACCCTTTGTCCAATTGAAATCCCTAAGAACTGCCCCATAAACGGAGCTGAGCTTAACCTTTTGTTTGCATGTAACTGATCTAGCAGATCCTCCCGGAAAACTCTGTTTCGATTAGAATTTATTTTTGAAGGAACCCTGATGAGATCCAGAGAACTTATCTGTTATCCAGACATGAGAAGTGTCTCCATCTAATACTTCTCAGAAGTATTCTGGTTGCCTTTCAAGCCAGATTTGTTCTTCCGGCGGCAGGCAGTCTATGGTACTGTCAATATCCTTCACTAACACTATAATTCCAGTGTGTCAGTTTTCTTCAATATGCAATGTTCAGATTTCAGATGCATATGAAGCAAGTGAGAAAATCATGGTTTGTTTCGGGCTCACCTTGGTCCGCAGAATGATATCTTTGCTGCTTTGATTTCTTGTTAGTTGTTTTTATGTGCATGTAAACGCTATACATTAAAAAGGAAAGTGAGCAAAAATAAAATTCAACGTTAAGAGTTCTACTTTTCTCAAATATATGGTATTTTTCAAATCTGCCCTAAATGAAAGTCATCATCAGCCCTACCAACAAAGATTTATTAAGTTGTGGCCCACATGTGACATTGTGCCTTAAGCTGAAAAACCAGACAGCTGTGTATTATTTGTGAGGGATTACTCCTGTTATGTTCTACCTTGTGAGCAGTTATACAGTCGAAAGTGAAAATGATGACAGTGAATATGCTAATTTTAGGTGTTGCAGGGTTTGGAAATCCGGGCGGAAGAGAAGTCAATCAGCGCAGAGGACAGAGATAGGAGGGAGCAAAGTGACTTTGGGCTCGTTTAGAAGCTTTCCTCTTCGCGGTGTTTCCAGAACCCATCCTTTCATCTTCTTCACTTGTACATACAGCTGTAGAATATAGACTATCACAAGTTAGCTAGAAAAAGGTGTCAAAATTTCTTAAAACTAGTATCAGAGTTTCAACGTATTTCTTTGTAGGAGGAAGAGCTATGAGAAAAAAATCAAAAGGAAAGGAAAGTAAGCCAAATATAAAAAAGCTTAATTTCAATCGAGGCCATTACAATACATTTAGAACTGTAGAAGACCAGGGCACAAAGATTCCTGAAATGACTCAGAAATAATCCAGTTAAGCTGGGGGATCTCTGGAAAGTTAGTGTACATGTAATGTCAAGAGGTCAGTGGATAGCTTATGGGTGATTTGGAGATGATACTTCAGAGTTTTCATAGCCTAATATGTACAGCACAGTAACAAAACATTCACATGACCACTTTTGCTTGTCCAAGGGAGGAGTAACGCTCCCTATGACGTAGTTGAATCTCATCCCTTGACTAAATTAATGCATTATTTGTCTAGTTAAAGGAAACAAGCTTCTTGTAAAGAGATCAGTAATTTCCCTTGGCTTTCAGAACCAGAGAGCTTTATATGGTAAAGGACTCTTGTGATGGTAATAGGGAATTTTTTTCTCTTGGATGACTGGTCAGAACTTGTGGTGACTCTTTGATGTTTGGATGGGAGCAGTTGAGTTCCTCACTTGAAAAATAGCTGGAGCTTGCTAGATCATACACTGAAAGAATAAGAAGAAGGACATTTGTGTTTCCTGCAGTCTGCTGCGTCTGGATAATTCCATGTTCTAAGGACTGAATGCTTTAGAGTCGTAGTTTTAAAATGTTGCCACTTAAATACATCTAGTGGCAGGAGAGAGTAACCTTCTAACTCTAGACCCCTCACTGGGTTTTAAAAGCAAGAATCCTTTAAGCCTATTGCTGTATCTGCGTTTTACTCCATGAAAATAAGATTGCTGCTTTAGAGAATGTTTTTCTCCCCAAGTAAAACTATATTTACCATTTTATAAATTACTTTTGGTAGCACATAAGTATAAATTTGAGGGCCACCTTTAAGGCGCTGAGGTAGTATTCACCAAACGGTAGGGCTGACAGACATTTTAGCAGATGCCGACGTAGGAGTGCGCTGGAGAAAGCAGCAGCATCTTGCCGACCATTGTCCATCCGCCGACAGAATCCACCTAGTTACTGGTTCGTACTTTTTATTGACATTGCTAGAACCTCAAAAAGGTATTTACATGTTGGACTCACAGAGAGCAGTTATCTTCCTTTATTAAACTTTATTAATGAGTGGTTGGGTAGGTAAATGTGTAGAGACTAAAGCTTATTAGTGGTTATGAGTAAAAGTTTAGAAAAAAAGGGACCATTGCTTAAGAAGCTGTAGGTTTCTATTTATGGCGATGGAAACTTTGGCTAACGATTATGCTTGATGGTTGAAGAGCATGATTAATGTAATTGATATCATTAAATTGTTGATATCAATTGAATTGCTGATCGGAACTAAAAAACGTTGAGCTGTTAAATGAGTTTTATATATATTTATAAAAACATATATGAACACACACACTTATAACAGTAAAATATATGAGAAGAAAGTGTACTAAGTGGTAGGGAAGGAAACAAAGTGGCACCTCTGCTCGTGAACACTAAGGAGGCCTCGTGCAGCAGATGTGCCCAAGCAATGCCTTGACTGCTGCTTCTGGGCGTGCTGTTTGTGGTTCCAAGTAGAGCGAAGCCCTTGACAACTTGAATCTTTTCTCCACGAATTATGGTGTTCTGTTGGTCAAGTTGTGAGGATATTTGTTTATGTATAGCATACAGATGCATACAGCATATTGAGTCCATATATATGCATTATATTTATACCTATCATTTTTTTAAATTGCAGATACTACTGCCTTTCCAGTTTTGGTTTTCATGTAAATATTACTGGCATATTGAAATACTGGTGATTTGTGTGTGTGTGTGTGTGTGTGTGTCTGTGTTTGTGTGTACGGTATTGTGTCTTGTGACCATGCTAAACTCATTATAAATGTTTCTCTTATTAGATTGATACAAACAACATGGATAAATTTCAAAATGTAATCATTGACTGAAATATACTAGACAAAGAACAACTATTTGACTTCATTTACATGAAATTCTAGAAAGTGCAAACTATTTAGTAGTGACCGGAAACATAAATCACCAGCCATCTGGGGATACGAGATTGCAGAGGAATAGAGAGAAACTTAGAAGGAGCAGGCAGGTTCAGCTATTTTTGTGGTACTGGGTGTCACTGACATATATATCGGTCAGATTTATCAGATTTATCACACACTTACTCTGTGCGCAGTTTATTGAATGGTTAACAATACCTCAATATTTTATTAGTTTCTAACATAAGATGATTTGTTAATGATGTTTATTTAATGTCTATGTATAATCATAGAAAATGAAGAAAAAAGGATTATCTTAAAATTAATAAGTATGTTTCTGTTATATTTTTTTCCTTTTCCACCAACATCTTGTCTTTCATTACCACTGTCTTAGATTTTTTTTTTCTCTTTCATCACATTCACTTAATGTACCTCCTCCTGTTTTTTAAGTTATTTCAGGTTCCATTAGAAGAAGAAGGACAACGTGGTGGGCCTATCCTTGCACCAGAAGAGATCAAGACTATTTTTGGTAGCATCCCAGATATCTTTGATGTGCACACTAAGATAAAGGTAAATTTGTACATGCTAGATGAACTTGGTAGTAATTCTTTTTGGATTGTGTGTGATTTTTCTCTTTTATACCTACTTAAACTTGTTTTCAAGGCATTTCATATAAGCTAACTATATTTTATATGCAAGACATCTTTTGTTCCTTTCAATCATTTGTCTCTTTACTCTGGTGCCTTATCAATGTTTATTTGCGTATTTTAAATGTAAATCAAACCTGATCTGAGGAATTAAGATTTTTCCAAGTATTTTAGACTAACATAGATATATTTGAGAGGTTACCTTAAAAAAATAAAAATAGAGAAAGCTCCACTGGGCGGAGCTTTCTTAGTGTGCATTTTTCCCACTAGGTGAGCATTCAGTCACTCACTCTGAGTTAGTGTACTCAGTGGCATTGCCTGGGAATGTTCTCTCTAGTCACAGTGAATTTTTTCGGAAAAGTAGTTTCACTCGAACCTTGTTTTTTTTTTTTTTTTGTGATAGCTGATATAAGAGAACAGTGTGCACCTGTGAAATTTTGTTTACTGCTTGGGAAAATGCCACAGACACTGTTGTGATGTTGAACACAGCTTAAAAGGACAGCACTATGGGAAAAACTTGTATGAGTGGTTTTCTTGTTTCAAAAAAGATGAAATGTCAATTGATGACAAGCTTCATTTTGGATGTCCATCAGCTTCCAGAAAGGATGAAAATGTCAACTTGTAGTGCATTTGGAGTTTGTTCTACCAGGTCAGACTGCTAATCAAGCTTTCATAACTGTGTGCTACAAAAAAGGCCTTTTTTTGTGGCTGATGGGGGACTGGTTTTGCCACCATCAAAATGCACCTGCTTACGCAGCCATCTCATTGCGCCAGTTTTTGGCCAAAGCAGCATGCCTCTTTTGCCTCATACACCTGACTTGCAGACTTCGCTCTGTGCGACTTCTTTTTGTTTCTGTGAATGAAGAGGGAGGGACATCAAAGGACAGTGATTTGAGGAAGTAGAAGAGGTGAAGAAAAAACGAGGGGGAGGTGCTGTCAGCCATCCAAACAGATGAGTTTGAAAAATGCTTCCAAGAATGGTATTGTAGATTTGACAAATGTATAAATGTATTAAGTGTGATGGAGAGTACTTTGAAGGTGATAAGGTTGCTTTGTAAAAAAATTTAAATACATAGCTTTTTGGGGGAAAAAATCCTGTTCTTTTTGGGTACCCCTACATATGTTTCCTAGTACTCTTTTTGTTATCTTTGGGGTTTGTTTGTTTGTTTTGTTTTCTTTAAGACGTGTAAAGACTAAAGAGACTTACATGTCATTTCATCTGTTTCCCTTTTTAAACAATTTTTTAAATTGTGAATTTGGTGGGGGTTTATATTTCAGGTGATCCGTTTTGTATTCAGCAGTTTAAACAATGTCAGTCCTGCCCACATTAAGTTACCCCCAAGCCACCTTTAATTTCTTTTCTCCCTCTTGTGGATTACTACCTTCCCCTTGCCTCCCCTGCCCTTCGCCGCTTAGATAAGAATGCTATCCTTTTGAGATGATTTCCTTTGACTAAGGATACATGATTTCCAGGTATCAATTTCTTACATTAAAGTATGCTTTGCATATGTTTAGCTGAGCTCTTAAAAGTAATTTAGCTTTAATTTTTCTTTATATTTATTTATTTTTCTGTGTGCTTTTTTATTTTAACTCATTTTATTGGGGCTCATACAACTCTTATCACAATCCATACGTACATCAATTGTATAAAGCACATTTGTACATTCATTGCCCTCATTCTCAAAACATTTGCTCTCCACTTAAGCCCCTGGCATCAGCTCCTTAATTTTCCCCCTCCCTGCTCCCTGCTTCTTCATGAGCCCTTGATACTTTATAAATTATTATTTTGTCATATCTTGCCCTGTCCGATGTCTCCCTTCACCCACTTTTTTGTTGTCCGTCCCCCAGGGAGGAGGTTATATGTAGACCCTAGTAATCAGTTCCCCCTTTCTACCCTACCTTCCCTTCACCCTTCCGGTATTGCCACTGTCACCATTGGGCCTGAAGTGACCATCCGCCCTGGATTCCCTGGTTTTCCAGTTCCTATCTGTACCAGTGTTCATCCTCTGGTCTAGCCAGATTTGTAAGGTCGAATTGGGATCATGATAGTGGCGGGTGGGGTGGGGTGGGGTGGGGGGGGTGGTCCTTTCATTTTTCTTACGTAGTAGTAGAGTAAAATAGATCAATCTTCTCGAAACAATCTTTATTTTAAGACTTGTTCCATATTCCAATAAAAAAAATGCCAAGTTGAATTGTAGGATGTATATGCAATGTCTTTAATTTCAATGTATACTATAAATAATATAAAATATCTTCAAGTTAATGCAGTTCACCAGATGCTTGCATTTTGTATTTTATCAAAATTGTATTTAACTTAATTTCTAGATCTAGAAGGCACTCTGGAAGGGAATCTTAATCCTCTACATATGAAAAAAGTGCAGATTTTCATTCTAGCTTATCCAATTCAGTTAGGGATGTGGACAATTGACAAGGAACATATTCTCAGAATCATTTTTCTTGTTAAGAATCACTGAGAGAAAAGACAAAAGTCAAACACAAAGTATCAATGAGAGGCATAAATATAAAATGGAAAGTCATTTTAGGCTTTCGTCTTGGTGTTCTCATCACGTTGAGTGTACAACCTCCTTTCATAAAATGTTATACTTTTATGGATATAGCATCATAATCTCAATTCAGAAAATTATGTCTGATTCAGTGGAGCTTTGAAAATGATTGTCATCCTTCAGCTTTCTCATGTGTAACCTAATGCTTTAAGCCTCTTTGGTAAGGTTGAGTTACCAATACTGCAACTAAGGCTGTTGTTTAGAAGATTTTAGGTTTATCACACATTAAAAACCTTAAAAGTTTGTATTTTTTTTCTAATATGAAAATATGTGTTGTCAAGCATTTGTCAAGTCAGGAGAAATGGAAAATGCCTATAATTCGATCATTCAAAATGCTTATAAAAACTTAATGCATTTTCTTTAGTATTTTTTATATACAGTAGTGTGTTTTTTTACATTTTTGTTGTACTTTATTTGAAATGATTTTATTTGGAGCTCTTGTAGTTATTGTAACAATTCAAAATTCCATTAGATCAAGCATAATTATACAATTGCTATCACCATCAGTTTCAAAATACTTTCTTTCTTGAACAACTTGATATCAGCTCCCTTATCTCACCCCCAGGAACCCTTATTGTTATATATATATTTTTTTCTATTTTTAAATGTAACCAGCCCTATATTGAGTAATGCCACATTTATTGAGCACAACGAAGAAGTTAGTATACTTGTAATAAGTATTGATAAATTATTATGTTAATCATAATTTTTGATGATCCCCACCCTGAAGCCAACATTTAATAGATGCTAATCAGGATATGATTTCTGATTCATCTGACTTTAAAGCTTGTGCATTTAAACCATTTTTCTATATTGCTTACTGATGATGATGATGTGCATACTATTTTGATATTGAAATAAAACATATAAAAGTGTCTTCAATTTGAACAATTTTTTCCATATCATTTCTGTAGTAGTATTTTATCCATTCAGGAATAAAAGGGATTTAATTTGAAGTCAGGTGACTTAAGTGTTTCAGTTTCTCATCTATAAAATCTACTTTGTAGTGTCTGACTCTTGACTCTCAGGAAGATGTTTGCTTTATGTACAACCACGTCACTGAACAGAGTAGATTGCCTGACACTTAGTGAGCATTCAGTAAATAATAAAATAACAACAGCGATTAAACTTGCTAATAAACTAAAATAAGAAGTATAATGAGCTATATTTTTCAGAAGTTGTGTGTGTGACCAAAACTATTTTATATCCAGTGTGTTTTACAAAAGAGCCCTGGTGGCATACTGGTTGTGTGTTGATCTGTGTCAGCAGTTTGAAACCACCAGCAGCTCTGCAGGAGAAAGGCGAGGCTTTCTACTCCTGTTACGAGTAACAGTCTTGGAAACCCACAGGGTTTCATAGGATCACTGTGAGTTGGCATCAGCTTGATGACAGAGAGTGAACGAGTGTTCTATAACCTCTTTGGCACTTAGGTTATCATCAGTAATTATTTATAGAATGGTGGTCTCCCTATCTTTTACTTTGCAGGATCAGGACTAGAACTCAGTCTGTTTCCTCATCTAGGTACTATGTAGATACCTTAGCCCATCTTATTTTACTTTCAGAGTCCTGTGTGGTACTGATTTTTGAGTTAAGGTGAAGGAGATTTTGAAAGTTGTCATCAATCTCTCTTTCCCTAAGTGATCTACCCCCCCACCCTTTAGTGGAAATGAATTAATCACTAATGTAAAAATACCTACTTTTACATAGAGCTGACATCAAAAAAAAAAAAAAAAAGCAAAGAAAGAGAGGAACTGGAGAAAGTCTTTTTCCATCTCATGTTTATCCTCTATTATTAAAGTTTTAATCTCAAAAAGTATTTTGTATTAATTTGGGAACCGGCTGTATTCTGAGGCTTCCAAAAGTTCCTGGAGAAGTGGAATTCTTCCCATGAACTTTTTGAAGCTGCTTTGAAATTGGAGAATCTGTTGATTTGGTTTATTGTGTAATAAATGAGCGAGTTGAAAATGAAGCCCAAGTCATAGTCGCATAGTAGGTGGCAGCCGCTCAGAGAAAATCTTCAGTGAGGAAGATGAAACCGTTTTTGTGGTTCCATCCCCTTAGCTTTACCTCACTCTCCTAACTCCCTCTCCCAGGCTTTGAGAGCTATGCTTCAGGGTTTTCTATTCTTATGGCCAGGAGGGAAAGGAGAGCGAAACCTTGGTATGGGTGAGTAAGAGTTATGTCCCATGTCCCCCCTAAGTGGAATTTTACAATGCTGAAAATGTCTCACAAACTTTAAGCCCTCGGTGTATCTTCATCTGAACTCTCTATTCTATAGTCTTAACTATTGGCAGAGCTAGAAGCTTTTATCTGGTTTACAGTTTTCCACATGCCCCCTTGAATTTCTATTAAAGGCTTATATAGAAAATCTAGTTAATAATAGCTTGCTGAACACTGACTGTCTATCAGAGATTCTTCTAAGTGCTTTACAAGTATTAGCTCATTTAGATCTCTTGGAAGTAAGCATAGTTATTACCCTTATTTTTCAGAATAGTATATAGGCCCATAAGGCCAAGGCACAGATCTAACAAGCAAGAGAGGCAGGATGTAAATGTCAGGCAGTCATTTCCCTTGAAGCAGTTCTCCCTTTTTTATATAGTTGCTTGAGTTGATCTTAACTCATACTAAGCCTAATGGAGCTTCTGAAGCTATGAATCGCTTTAAGAGTGGACAGCCACATTCTTTTCCTGTGGAGTTGGTGGGTTTGAACTAGCAACGTTGTGGCTACTAGCCAGAATGCTTACCCCCACAGAGCCACTGGAAATCCTTATATTGCCCCTAGATTAGTCTTATTTATAAATATTCCTTTTCAAGTCACAATTTTTAATAGTCTTGACTTGTTGACTGTTAAGTTAGTCTTGCTTTGAATTTCAATTGAAAGCCTCCTCCCACCCCCAAATAAAATATTTCTCTATCTGCTTATTGGACAGTAGATCATAAATTATTTGCTCTCAGGCTTTTTTTCTTTTTCACTCTTAAATATATTATGGAACTTTTGTGTATTTAGGCTTAACTACCTTTTAAAAAACTTTATTAGAAATTAAAATTTTAGATATTTTAAAATATGTAATTTTACATATTTTATAAATACATATTGAGGTATATTCTACCTAAAATAGAATTAACCTACTTTAAATATATTATTTAATAGCGTTTTGGTAATGCAAGCATCACCATAAAGTCGTTTACTCTCCAAGTAAAAACCTTCATGCTTATTTATAGTTAATCCACATGCCTCACCCAGCCCATCAATAATTCTGCTTCCTGTCTCTGAACTCTCCCATCTGGACATTTCATACAACCACAGTTCTACAGCATCGCATCTCTTGTATTTGACTTGTTCCTCTTAGCATGGGTGGCTCTCTCTACAGTGCTGCATGTTAGTAGTTTATTCCTTCTTTACTACTGGACCTTTTTTCCCCTTGTACAGTATTCTAGCCATCGTGATGGGTATGATGTTCTTTCTCATGATTTCAGTTTGCATTTTCTTTAAGACTAATGTTGCTGAGCATCCTTTTATGTTTACTAGCCACTTGCATATCATCTTTTGTAAAATACATGTTCAGATGATCTGCTACCCAATTTTAGGATTGCTTGTTGTCAAAGAACTTCTTGTGCAATGGTCCAGTGCGTGGGCGCTAACCAAAGGGCCTAATCAGGGGTCCTCAAACTTATTAAATAGGGGGCCAGTTCACTGTCCCTCAGACTGAGCCATTGGAGGGCCAGACTATAGTTTTAAAAAAAAACTGTGAACAAATTTCTATGCACACTGCACCTATTGTATTTTGAAGTTAAAAAACAAATGGGGCAAAAACACCCGGTGGGTTGGATCAATGTCCTCTGCGGGCCACATGTGGCCCGCGGGCCGCAGTTTGAAGCCACCTGGCACTCAGATAAAAAACCTGGTGATTGTTCCCCAAATAGTACAACCTAAGAAACCTATGGGACAGTTTTTGTCTTATAGAGTTGCGAGAAGTCGCAATCAATGTGATGGCACACACAAGCGTTTAGGAAATAAGTTCTTTAACAGCTATGTGCTTTGCAAATATTTTGTCCCAATTTGTTGCTTGTCTTTTCATTTTCTTACTAATGTTTTTTGGAGTGCCAAAGTTTTAAATTTTGGTGGTCTGATTTAATTTTGTAATGGACTGTATTTTTGGCATCTCACCTAAGAAATCTTCATCTAAAAACCAAAGTCTTGAAGATTATTATTATTTTTGTTCTAAAAGCTGCATTAGTGTTTACATTGAGGTCTGCAATCCATTTTTAGTTATTTTTAATAAGATGAGAGTTCAAGTTCATATGTTTGGCACGCATATTTCATCTCAAAAGTTGTTTATCATTTTTGCAAAATAATAACCAAATTTACATGCTGCCGTTAGTGTCATATCTATGGAAAAGAATTTTAAAACAAAACCAATGAAGTGTTTTTCACAATTTTAATAAATCTTTAATGCATGGCTTAAGAAAAGATTTAGTCTCATGTCAGCTTTTGCATTTGTTCTGTTGCAGTATTACAAAGGTAACCGCTAGAAAATTGTTTTGCATATTTGTGAGAGAATCAGATTGAAAAATTTAAATAATGCAGTGGTATTGCAACTACTAGTTTTAATTTCGTGGATCACATCAACCCAAGTGTTGTGGACCCTCTGGGGTCTGCAGTTTGCACTTTGAGAACTTATGGTCTAGGAATTTACTGCAGTTCACTTACGTCTGCCGTTTCTTAGCATCTCATTTGCTTTGTGTTTTAATTTTAAATTTCTTCTAAAATAATGAATAATATATACTGTAAGGTTACTGTTATGGGATTTTATACATGTGGCTTGGCAACACTGGTTCCGTGGGCCAAATCTGGTTTGTTGCCTGATTTGGTAAAGAAAGTTTTAATAGAACATAGTTACATACTTTCATTTACATATCATCTGTGACTACTTTTATGTTTTTATGTTACAAAGTTGAGTAGTTTTGAGAGAAACCATATCACCTGCCAAGCCCCAAATACTTACTGTTGGCTAATAGTGAATAGGCCTTCAACACGCATGGCTATTCTATGCAGAACAGAACCAAGTGCTACCTAGTGCTGTATCCACCCCATAATCGACTCATGATCTGACTGTTGTGATTCATGGGGTTGTCATTGACAGATTATTAGAAGTCACTCACTCCATCTTTCTTTCTAGTCCATTAGCTCTATTGAAACCGTTGAAAGTATTTTCCTGTAATTAATAGCAGCAACCATAAGAAAAGATACTGAACTATCACATTTTAGAAAAATTAGGCCTAATCTGTTTGCCTTGATGCTATTTATATTTTCTTAGTCTTCAAAGGATACTTTCCTAATAAAAAACTTAATTCCATGCTGAGGAGCAGGAGTGAAATAGTAATTGCTCTGCTCATCAAGTTGAGATATGTAAAGTGCTGCTTTCAAATAAGTATCTCAGAAATATTAAAAGGTATGTAAAACACTGTCAAGTTTCATCTTTAAAGTTTCAATTTGCACTATTTCAGGATGATCTTGAGGACCTTATTTTTAATTGGGATGAGAGCCAAAGCATTGGCGACATCTTTCTTAAATATGTAAGTATTTAAATGAAGTATCCATCAAGAACTAGCAGAGTGTACCCATCAAGGACAGCCCCCTACCCAGGAGACTTTCCAGATAAATGAAAGTTAGCCCTTGAAATGAAGCTAATTTAAATGTTGGAATGGCTGCCTTTGTAAAATACATTGCAAATGTTCTTGCTTTGTGAATCATGTTTTTTATACGTAGTAGTTTCTTGATAGCTCCAGATCATTAAACATATATTAGATTGCTGTCATATGAGATTGTTTTGCTACCAAGCCTTTAAAAAGTGGCCACAGGCTAAGTTTTTGAAATTTTCTTTGAATTACTTTTATTTTTCTCTTACTTAACAATCCAGACATCAGTTGTATCAAGTTCCTTTGTACATACATTGCCATCAGTTGAGTTGTTTTTAATCATTCTTTGCTTTCACTATCTATGCTCTATATGGAAGCTTCTAATCAACTGTTTAAAAATAAATTCACTTTGGAGGAAATATGTGATTCATTTATTGGAATAGGATTTATAGGTTTCAGTGTTTGGATCCTGCTACAGTTCTCTGTGTCGTTTTCAAAGACCCTCCCTCCTTCTAACTTCCTTCTTTGCCAAGTCGTATTTTGGATGTTTTTTTCTAGTTGGTTAAGACAATAAAACATGCAAATTACGACCGGATATGTTTTTATATCTGTTGGTGTCCTTAATTACTCTAGAAATTTTTTCTTTTTTTGTATTATTTTTGAGTAATATACTTGATCTTGTAGTGTAGACTGTTTCTGTCATTAAAGACTTTGAGTGTTCTTGGCTTTAGGATAAATAACAAATGAATTACTACATCTTAAGTGCATATTATAGTTAGATAGTTTCTTTGTTTTATTAATAAAATAAAGCTTTAGTGTGCTTTTTGTTGTTTATTTGTTACTGAAATTTTGTGTTATGTGTGTTAATTGCTGCATTTTTGTTCAGCAATTAATTACTAATTTATAAAATTATCTTCAATATTTAATTACGAAGAAACATATAACCTTTTGTTTGCATTCAGTGTATCTGATAAATTTTGGTTACTTTAAGCTTCATTGTCTAAAGATGATGCATAAAACTAGTGTTTTTTTTCCCTTCCCTTTTTAGTCAAAAGATTTGATAAAAACCTACCCTCCTTTTGTAAACTTTTTTGAAATGAGCAAGGAAACAATTATTAAATGTGAAAAACAGAAACCAAGATTTCATGCTTTTCTTAAGGTAATGTACTTTCAAACAAAAAGTTTGGGTCATTTCTGAAAGGCTGTTATTAAAAATGACTAAGATATAGATTATAACTTCAATAAAATGGATTCATATAAGAACACTTTAATGTTTATCTGTTGGTTTTAGCTATGGTTGAGAGTAGCAGTAATGTTTAGCTTAAGCAGATTTGACATTAGGGAGCCAAAGCAGCCAGTGAATAAGAATGTTATATATAGTTATAGAAGTTGTGTTAGTCTGGGTACTTTAAATAAACAAATCCACAGAAACTCATGTATAAGAGAGAGTTTTATATAAAGGGTAAGTGCACATCAAGACAGCATCCCAACCCAGTGCTGCCTAAGCCCACAAGTCCAACATTAACCCATGTGTCCAACACCTATCCACAAAGTCCTTCTCCATCTCACAAAACAGAAGCAGTGATGCCGACTGTAGGAGGAAAGCTGAGTCAATGAATGTGTAAGCTTCTCAGCGCTGGCAGGGGTCTCCACACGGGTGTTCCAGCACCCAGGGCCGCATTGGAGTAGGTCCATGTGGCTTCTTAGGGATGTCTCGCCGGAAGTGAGCCTTGCCAGCTAAAGCAGGGAACTGGCTAAGGCAGTGGCACCCTGGTCCTACCATCAGAAAGCAAGAGACCTGAGAACTAGAAAGGCAAGGCCCACTGAGCCATTTATCCCTCCACCTTTCAATTAACCCCACATGTGTTTATGGGCCAGGTTGGCACAATAAACTAACTACCTCAGAAGTTATTAATGCTTTCGCTTTCAAACATCTGAAAATTTTCCAGAAAGATTTTTTAATTGCCTTTAATGATGTTTTTCTCTTAGTAAATCAAATAGTATACTCTCTTTACTTGAAAGTATCAGTATTATTTGTATATGTTATTTCTTTTAATTGTGAGAACTTCAGAGAAAGTTTAAGTGGGATGCATGATAGGTAGTGGAACTCACGTTCTCTTTGACTTGTTAACCTGTGGCCGGCCAGTAAGTCACTTCAGGACCTTCAGGGTTACCACATTTTAGCATATAGTGTGTGCACATATATAACGCACACACATGCTTAGAATGTGCACAGCACACTTACCGAAAATGAACACATATGGAGGCTTGAAAATATTGTACACCACACGTACTATTTGTGTAAAAATAGAGTGCTTAACCACAATAGCTAACTGCAATGCAACTACCACCCAGTCTGTCCCAATACTTATTATCAGGACCACTCATGATAAGGTGCAATGTGTTGAATGTTTCCAGCAAATCATCGGTTTTAAATGATTGAATGTGTTAATTCTTTTTAGATAAACCAAGCTAAACCAGAATGTGGACGGCAAACCCTTGTTGAACTTCTCATCCGTCCAGTACAGAGGTTACCCAGTGTTGCACTGCTCTTAAATGGTATTGGGCAATCTGTTGTCAGACCACTTTAGAGACGTACTTTTGTTTTCTGTCCCAAAATTTCGAATTCCTCACTTCTATAAGCTTCTTGGACTTTTGCATTAAAGTTTAAGTATGTATCTCTTTTACAAAGAAAACAGCTTTATACATGTATATAACCTTACAAAATAATCACTGGTGCTATAACTTTTCCTTCTAGATGCATTATATTTGTTTTGATATAATTTATATTGACTAGTTGTAGTATACTTTTCATTTATCTTCTTAAAGTCTTACATTTGGTGGTGTGTCAGTAATTGAAAATCGATTTATGCATGTAAACTCAGAGTTCAATCACAAAATCATAAGAAGAGATGTTCTGAAATTTTATATTCCTTTTCTGAGTTTTAATTTCTGGTTCCTTGGCCTTAAACTTCGTTTTTTTCTTAGATTGTTCAAAACATCTTGAAATATATATTTATATTTTCTAGTGCTTGAACTCTAGCTATAATAGTAAATTATACATGAGAGTTAATTTTTATGTAACTCTTGCTTGTGTTAAAAAATGCACACACATACATACATGTATATTTTATATATATGCCTTTACACATAAGCTAAAGTGAATATTTTAAGGAGGTTTCAAGTTTTTATTATATTATTTTAAATTCAAGATGAAAAATAAAATGCAAAAAAATAAATTTGTAGTAAGGCATTTTGATCCCCAAACCTTTACCTACTATAGTATATGCAGTAGAAAAGGAAGCTAATTTTTAGACTCTGTTTAATTTATTTTTTCTTTGAAATATATTAGTAGATTATAGTAATAACTAAAACTATTGTGATCTTTCTCTAGACTACTGTAACATGATTGCGATAATTAGTTTATAAAATGATTCCCCTATCCTATTAAACAACTAGATTATAATAAAGACAATACAGAGAGAGACTTCTAAAAGCTGCTAAAAAAATGGAACTGAAAGATATTGGAATTTTTTCCATGAAATTTTTGAAGGCAGTACATACATATATGAACAAGCCTATACATTAACATGAACAAGCCTTTAAGCTGCCAAAATGATATATATTTTCTGATTAGCATATAACCACAATTATTTCATTAACTCGTAAAATTTATGTTGTTGCAATAAAACCAACTTGATTTCTAAGTTTTATTCCACTTACCAGATTGGTGTCTGGTAGTAGATTGAGAATAGACTTGGTAGGAATGTGCTGCATACGGCATAGAATAAACAATCCGGATAAGACAAAGAGTGCCTCTATCAGTGGACTCAGGCATCATAAGGATTGTGAGGCTGGCATAGGGCCCGGCTGAATATTTTTCTATATTGTACATAGGGTCCTTACTTATAATTACAAGCCTACTCAAAAACACCTAACAATGATTTCAGAGCTAATTGAGGGCTATATATTTTCATGGAGCAGAGGAGTTGAGAAGTCAGTTTCCAAGCTTTACTAAAATTGAGACAGCAGTATAAGAAAAGATCTGTTTCATATTTTGAAAATTTAGTCAATCAAAAAATATAACTTTAAAAATTAAGAAGAGAACTCTTAAGGAAACATTGTTTAAATGGTTTCTTAAAAGCAAAAGGCTTACCTTTGAAAATGAATAAGACTGTAGATAATAGACAATATTTTAAAAAATCTTAATTGGAAAACCACTATTTTATTTAATTATAAAACATTTTGTGTAGGACATGAAAAAAAAATTATAAGTTATGAAGGGTTCATGAGGGAGGAAGGGGGAAAAAAGAGGAGCTGGTACCAAGGGCTTAAGTAGAAAGAAAATGTTTTGAGAATGATGATGGCAACAACTGTACAAATGTGCTTGATACTACAATGGATGGATGGGTAGATTATGATAAGAGTTGTATGAGTCCCCAATAAAATGAAGAAAAAAAAAACGAAAATGAAAAACATTTTATCATTACAGATCTCAAGAAGCACACAACTGATGACAATCCTGACAAAAACATTCTGGAGAATGCTATTGCATCACTTAAGGAAGTAATGACGTAAGTGCATCCATTTGATTTTTCTTATGTCAGAATTGAATCAATAGCAGTGTGGTAGTGAGTTTTGTTTCCTTAATTTAGAATTGAATTGATGGAAGAATGGATAGAAAATATCAAAAGCAAATTTGTGTTAAAGAACAGATAAGTTATTTTCTCCTGAGAAATATTGTACATTGAATAATCAAAAACACATTTATCTCTCAAAGCTGTGTACTGTTAGACACAGAGAACAATAGTTTAGAGACTTGAAACTATCAGAGGCTCTGTTACTTTGTTCATGCATCTCCAGGTAGTCATGGCTTGATTTGCTCTTCCTATTTATGTGAACTGCCCAAACGTGACCTCAGAGTCTGACCAGGGTGAAATAAATAGAAAAGGTTTAGAAAACGTTCTCCCTTTAGTTGTAGACTTTTTGTCTCTCACCTTAAATTTCATGGAATTAAATTGATAGGGTTGGTCAAAGATACATTAAAAAGTGCCAGCTCACTGAAATTGATTGGGACAGAGTGATTGTTCAACCTAGGCCATGCGAGAATCAATTCGCAGACGGAATTCTTATAAGACTGTTCTTTTTCTGCTGTTTTGGGAAAACTTGAAAACTGTTAACTTTTTTTTTTGCTTTATAGAAATCATTTAAACTCTTTGGATTTTATTATATACATAATCACTTAATAATTAATAGATTTAAATAAATGATTTTAAGCTTCTAGTCAGTTCTTTTATATGAAACTATCTTAAAATACTTACAATGGAAAACACAGAAATTTTCATACGTCCAGATAGGGTCCAGCACTAGAATATGCTCAAATTGGCTAATACTAGTTTTGGTTGCAGATGGGAAGATTATGCAAGTTTTTTGCTATTGTTTTTTTGCTTGTATTCTTCTACACTTATCCTGGGTCCAGCATTAAACGTTTGGAGATGACAATGATGATGATTTTCTATACTTAGCAGTTTATGATTTAAGCACTCTGGCGTTACTTTATACACTTTGATCCTTCCTATAACATTTTTAAATTAGGCAGAGTTGAACTTAACATGTTTTAATAAAAGAGAAAAGCTGAGAAGTTACCATTTGCCCAGTTTACTTATGTAGAAAATTTTGGAAATAAAAACTACAGAAACTTTCAAGATATAATAGAAAATCTAAACAGATTTAAGAATTTAAAAAATCTTAATCTCATTATACTTTTGGTTATATTTTGGTGGTTTCTCTTATTAGGAATTTGTTTATTACATCTAAATTGTCTACGATGTTGGCACACAGTTCTTAGTGTTTTTGTTTTCTTTTTCTGTTAGAAGTAGTAGTAACTCCTCTTTTCCATTCCAATTTTAGTGTTTTCCCTTTTTTACCACTCTTGTTCTGTTTAAAGGTTTGTCAATTTTCTTGAGCTTTAAAGGAAGCAACCTTTGGTTTTGTTGATTTTTCTCCTCTCTTTCCTCAATCTTCCCTCAAATCTTTCTTATATCTTTTTGAAGGTTTTAATTTGATTTAATTCTGTCTGATTTAGCTTGCTTTCTTTTTCCAGTATCATAGGGTAAAAGATTTTGAAACCGTACTGTTAATATCACGTGCAAGTCAAATTTAGTTTAGAACATCATTCTAAACAGGATGTAATACTAAATACAAGCCTGATTCAGAAGAGGACATGGAATGCGGAATGTCATTGCTGATGTCAGATGGATCTGAAAGCAGAGAATACCAGAAAGATGTTTATTTGTGTTGCATTGACTATGAAGAGGCATTTATCAGTGGATCATAACAAACTGGCTAACAGAACACTGCATTCATTGTGCTCATGAGGAACCTGTACATGGACCAAGAGGCTGTCGTTTGAATAGAATAAGATAATACTGCGTGGTTTAAAATCAGAAAAGGTGTGCATCAAAGTTATAGCTTTTCATCAAACTTGCTGAATAAGTGATCTGTGATGGTGCACTATCTGCAGAATGTGGTATTAGGATTGGAGGAAGGCTAACTTAACCCCCGCAATATGTAGATGGCACAACCTTACTTAGTGAAAGTGAGGAGGACCTGAAGCCCTTGCTGTTGAAGAAGATCAAAGTCTGCATCTTTCCTTATGGATTACAACTCAATGTAAACAAAACCCAGATCCTTACAACTGGACCAGTAGGTAACAACACCATGATAAATGGAGAAAGGATCAAAGTTGTTAAGGGTTTTATATTGCTTGGATTTATAACCAGTGCTCATATAAACAGCAGTCAAGAGATCAAACTACTCATTTCATTTGGCAAATATGCTGTGTAAGACCTCTTTAATCAGGATGTTATTTTGAGAATCGAGATGCCCTTGACCTAAGCCATGGTATTTTCTTTTTTTTTAACATTTTATTAGGGGCTCATAAAACTGTTATCCCAATCCATACACACATCAATTGTGTAAAGCGCATTTGTACATCGTTTCTCAAAACATTTTCTCTCCATTTAAACCCCCGACATTAGGTCCTCATTTTTCCCCTCCCTCCCCGCTCCCCCCTTCCGCATGTGCCCTTGATAGTTTATAAATGGGTTCATTCGCCTTATAGGCATGTGAAAATTGGATATTGAATAAGGAGGACTGGCGAAGAATTGATGTATTTGAAATTTGGTGTTGGCAAAGAATAATGAAAGTATATTGGACTGCCAGAACAACAAACATCTATCTTGGAAGAAGCACAGTTCATTAGAAGCTGGCGTGAATCTATTGTCAGGAGAGATCAGGCCCCGGGTAAAAGTACATTGTGCTGGGTAAAGCGGTGCGTCAGTTAGAAGGGGGAAGACCCTCAACCAGTTGCGTTGACACAGGACTGCAACAATGGATTCAAACATAGCAACTCTAAAGATACTGCAGGACTGGGCTGCATTTTGCCCTGTTGTATGAGTTGGAGAATTTGCTTGTTAGGAAGCCAGTGAGTGAGTTCCAACTAAGTCCAACCCTCTGTACAATAGAACAAAACACTGCCAGGCCCTGTGCCATCCCCACAGTTTTTCATATGCTTGAGCTCATCGGTGTAGCCGCTGTGCGAATCCATCTTGTTGAAGATCTTTCTCTCTGTGTGACGCTGCTACTTCACCAAGCATAATGCCCTTGTCCAGGGACTGGTCTCTCCTGGCAACATTTTTAAAATATGTGAGAGGAAGCCTCATAATCCTTGCCTCTCAGGAGCATTCTGGCAGAATCTGTTCTTTTGACAGTCGATGGGACTTTCAATATTCTTTGCCAACACCATAACTCAGATAGTCCAATTTCTCTGATTATTTGCTTAGCCTACAGATCTAATAATTATGGTGAATGGTTACAACTCTGAAGCCTTTTCTGATTTTAAACTATACAATATTTCCTTGTTCTGTTCAAACCACTGCCTCTTGATCCATATACAAGTTCCACATAAGCACAATGAAGTGTTTAGGGATCCCCATTGTTAAGGTTATCCATAATTGTTAATTGTCCACATAGTTGAGTGCATTAGCATAGACAGTGAAACACAAATAATCATCTTTCAGGTATTCTCTGCTTTCAGCCAAGATCTATCTGACGTCAGCAATGACATCTTTTGTTCCAAGTCTTCTTCTGAATCTGACCCAATCCTCTGGCAGCTCCCTGGTAATGTACTGCTGCAGCTGTTGTTGGGTGATCTTCAGCAGAATTTACCTTGCCTGTAATATTAATAATATTATTCTATAATTTGGGCATTCTGTTTGTTACCTTTCTTTGGAATGGGTTAAAATATGGATCTTTTCCTGTCAGTTGACCAAGTAGATGTTTTCCAAATTTCCTGACATAGACAAGCAAGTGCTTTCAGTGCTTCATCAGTTTGCTGAAACGTTTCAATTGTTATCCCATCAACTCCTGGAGCCTTGTTTTTGGCTAATGCTTTCAGTGCGGCTTGAACTTCTTACTTCGCCATCACTGGCTCTGGATCATATACGACCTCCTGAGATGGATGCATGTTTACTATTTCTTTCTGCTTCATGCATCAATATTTTGCCCATAACATCTTTGCAACTAGAATTGCAACTAGAATCTTGACTGTTTTTCTTGAGTTCTTTCAGTTTAAAATAAGTTGAGCAGGTTCTTGCCTTTTGGTTTTCTAACTGCAAGTCTGTACACATTTCATTATAATATTTTTCTTCGTCTTTTGTAGCTGCCCTTTGAAATTTTCTGTTCAGCTCTTTCCCTGTGCCTTAGCTACTCTACAATTAATATCAAATTTCAGAATCTGTTCTGACATCAATGCTGATCCTTCCTTCTTTTCTTGTCTTTTGTCTTCCATCATTAGTGTTCAATGAGTCAAATCTGTTCTTGAAATATTCTGTAAATTCAGGTGGAATAGCACTTATCAAGGTGAGTCTGTACAGCAGAACAGAAACCACAGTTTGGTTTTGTGCCATCCTCACAATTGTTCTTGAGTGTTTGCGCCCATTGTTACAGCCACTCTGTCAGTCATCTTGTGGAAGTCATCTCTGTGTCACTCCCTCTCTGAGAGGGCTTCAAAATGTTAGTGCAAAAATTCAATGAACTTTTCATTCAATTTGTCAAGAACATTTTGAAGCCCCCTCACATAAGGTCAGCTGTATATTGTAATTATTTCTTTAAATATCTTTTAAAAGAAACCAAGAGTAGAAAAAAGCGTGCGTGCGTGTGTGGTTTCTTATATTAACCTTCTTTTTTTTCATTTCTGCTTCTCTTCTTCCTATATGTTTATTTACCACCTGGTAGTGTTTCCCTACTTCAGTATAACTCTGGCGATCAGATTATTTTTCATTGTTCACCACTTTTAGGCACTTCAATAACGATGTGCCTTGGTGCTTTTCTTCATTTCTTTGCTTCAGATATACTTTTCTTTAACCAAGTGTGGAATTTTTTCACTATATTTCTTCACATATTTTGCTGTGTTTCCCACCTCTTCTTCTTTTGGTTCAGTAAGTGCATATTCATGAGGCCACATCTGAAAAGTGTGTGGAAACTATAAGGGAGGTTTCCCGTGAGCATTTTGAAGCTCTCTTACGGTAGGTAGGCACCCCTCAGCTCACCAATCTGTAACCCCCCCCCCCTCCCTCTCTCTCTCTTCAGTGTAGCTAGTTTTTATTGCTCTCCTTCAATTTCACCAATCTTTCCTTTTACAGTGCCCAAACCAGTGTGTTTTTCATCAAAGATATTGTAGCTTCTATCTGTAGAAGTTTGGTTTGGTCAATTTTTTTTCTTGTTGTGTGCATGCATCTCTGCTTACTATGTTTAATCTTTCCTGTAGCTTTTTGAAGTGATGAAATAGTCACAGCTGTTACCACTGTGCTGATTCTGACTTGTGACGACCCCTGTGTTTCAGCATACACACGCGCTCCATTTGGCTTTCCATAGTTGTAATGTGCAGAAGTAGATATCAGGTCTTTCTGTACTTCTGTGCTACCTCTGGGTGGATTTAACCTGCCAAACATAACTGTTTCTGTTACCCAGGAATTCCTATGAAATAATTGTAATAAATCTTTACCTTCTTGTCTCCTCATTCTACCATTTTGGTCACTTCTGTCTCAGTTTCAGTGGATGGACTACCCCTGCCTGTTTGTTTGCTAGCTAACATTTTATTGCATCCCAGACTTCAGTAATTGTACGTGATTGAGTGCTGGATATTGTTGTATTCCTGCAGCAATTTTGAACTTTTTTTGGTTACTTAAAAGCAAGTGTGATCTTTTCGTGTTCTGTTTTTAAGGCTTGTTAGGCAAGATCAGAACAGGACTTATCTAGGGTTAATTTTCTCCACTATTGAGGCATGACCCTTCTTAGTACTTTACCTGATACTCCATGAATCATCAAGATTTCCACTGCTTCATAGCAACACAGACTATTTTATGCCAAGTGAGTGCTGGCAGTGCTAAACTCTAAGCTTTGGGGGTGTTTCCTTAATCTCAGTAATTCCTTGCACTGATTAGTGCTTAGCTGAACACACATGGGAACCTTGTGCAGATGTGGGGGCTTCATTGTGCAGCTCTCTTCTCCAGTTATCTGCACGGCAGGTGGTAACCATCTTTTACCCTTGATTTCACTCAAGGCAAGCGCTGTGCTCCATATGCGTGGAGAAACTTCCTCTAGGCTGAAAGCTAGGGCAATTGTAAGACTCACAGAGGATCCAATGTCTTTATATTTTGACTCTTTATTTTTTAAGTTGTTTTACTCTAGTCTGAAAGCAGCATCTATTTTTGTTGTAATAAAATCTTTCACATATGACTTGGTAGTGACTTGGCAATAAAACTTAATTGAGCTTATAGAACGAAAATTTAGAATTTTGTTTTTTTGCCAGAAGTTTGGTCAGGTTTCATGTATTTTAGGATGTTTGTAGGATGGAATACAGTAAAATACTTTGTAAGAGATCTGCTGGATTTTTTTTTTAATGTAATGTACTTTTAGAGAGTATTTTAATTGATAACTGCTATTAAAATTTATGTAGATGCACAAGTAAAGACATTTTAAATTATTTGGATATATTTGTAAGTAGCTATCTTGTTTTGCTCTTTGAAGAGTTAAAACTTTAAAAATAACTGTTAAACTTTACAGGCATATTAATGAAGATAAGAGAAAAACAGAAGCCAGAAAACAAATATTTGATGTTTTTTATGAAGTAGATGGATGCCCGGTAAGGACTCTTTTCTGACAGTGGTCAATTAATTATTACTATTTTTATTTTTCCTCTCCTCACTGAGGTTTCTTTTAAATTACAGCTCTGTTTACCCTGATCTCTTTTACAAATCTTTTGTTACCATTTTCAATCTATGCAGGCTAATCTTTTATCCTCTCACCGAAGCTTAGTGCAACGAGTTGAAACCATTTCCCTAGGCGATCACCCTTGCGACAGAGGAGAACCAGTGACTCTCTTCCTCTTCAACGACTGCCTGGAGGTAATGTGTACTTCACGGAGGAGAATGCTGTGTCTGGCTGTTGTGGCTTCCCTTGAATGTTGAAACCAAGCTTTGATTGAAGCAGAAGTTTCCAGTCCACTTAGGGTTAAAGTGTAAAATTGAGACCAATTTTTTATTGACTGCTGATAAGAGAACTATTCCAGATGGTCTAGTATTAAGAAATATGATAAGTTCCCAGGTGAAAATTTCTGCAATGGATGGTTAGTCTCTTTTCATGCAATCAATGCATTGGTAACATTTTTGAGGGGACTTCTTGTGTATCGATTCAAGATTTACAAAGTAATTTGAGTGCTGCTTATTGGAATTTAAGTGGATTTTCCAGCAAAGATGAAATGAGTAGTTTGCTGAGTTGGGAGGAAAGTTGATCAGTTATGTCCTGAATGCCTTCATGATTCCATAACTGCAAAGTTGGCAGTTGGAACCCCTGAGCTGCTTCTTGCGAGAAAGAGGAGACTCTTGTCTTGGAAGATGGACAGTCTCAGAAACCTCACAGAGGCATTTTACTCTGTCCTGTACAGTTAATGTAAACCAGTGAGCACGATGGTAGTGAGTGGGTATAGGTGTCTGATCTTAGATTCTGAATCAGCGTGAATTCATTTACCATAAATGAATGGTAAGCATATCGCTCAATGGTTATAATTCTAAAATTATTTCTACAAGTGGATACTTTTTCTTGATTACACCTAAGGGTATACCGAATTAAGTTTGTATGCTTCAATATTCATTCTTTCAGTAGTGTCTTTTTTAAATAAGATAGGCTAGTAAGGGATTAAAAAGTAGACATTTTCCTTTGTGTCAGAAAGAAAAATGTTCATTCTGGTAAAACACATTAAGGATAAGAATCATTCAGTATTTCTCTTGTCAAAGTAATTTGATGGGTTTCCTTTTTCTTTGAAGTCTATACCTCTTTTATACTTTAGTTTTGAAATGCTGTTTTCTTTTCTTTTTTTTTAATTAAATACTTTTATTGGGGGCTTACATCTCTTACCACAATCCATACATTTCTCTATTGTGTCAAGCACATTTGTCCATTTGTTGCCATCAGAAATGCTGTATTCTTATATCATGTACATTATTACTTAAAGTTTATAACAAGAAAGGAATTTTAGAAAACAAGTCATGTAGAGCCATTACAGATATAATAAAGTCTCGTGAAAATTTTACTTATGTTAAATGTTAAGGTGAGCTTAATGTAAAAGTGACATTTGTATTTGGTCACTAATGCCACAGAAAGCAGAAAAGTACACCTAGTCATCTTCTACGCTTCCAAGTGTAGTATGTAATAGCCCCGCCTCTCACTCCTTTTACTGTCTTGACTCCAGTGACTTCTTGTTACTGATTTTGTGACTTAGGTGACTCCATGTGTTAACAGCAGTAGTTCTCCGCCTTCCTCATGCCGTGACCCTTTAATAGTTCCTCATGTTGTAGTGACCCCTCAACCATAACATTATTTTCGTTGCTACTTCATAACTGTCATTTTGCTACTGTTATGAATTGGGCAACCCCTGGGAAAGGGTCGTTTGACCCCCAAAGGGGACACGACCCACAGATTGAAAACCGCGTTGTTAACAGAGTCATACTGCTCTGTTGGTGTTTTTCAGCTATTATCAAGAAGCAGGCTACCAGTCCCATGGTGCTTTTGGGTGGGTTTGAACTGCCAACCTTTCGTTTACGAGCTGAGCTTAAATGGTTTCTGCCACTAGGGACCTTTGGTGCTACTCTCTTTGCCGCCCAGTATCTGCATCGCATCAGCGGCAGTGCCTCTATTTCTAACATATTACATTTGGACTCGACACTAAATTCTAAACTTAATTCTTAAGTTTTGTGTTTAAAAACCAACCCCCCAAATTGTATGCATAATAGTTTACCAAAATGAAACAAAATTTGTCTTTAAAAATATCTTTTCCTTTTGGATATTTTGTTTTATTTCTATTTCCTACGATTCTGTATTAGGATAGTAAAGCTAGGCAAGAAATTGATAGACAATAATTTTCATTGTTTTCCTTTTTAAAGTAAAATTTTTTCAATATTTTAACCAGGAAAAATGGCTTATTTTATTCAACATTTTATTCTGACTTAGAGAACCCATTTGTTTGCCCTGTACCCATTCACACAGTGTGTTCCGTGACGTTGATGGGGATCTACGATAAGACAGCTCGCTTGCCCCTTGCTCTCTCCTGCTTCCAGTCCTCTTTTGTTGGCCGTTTCTGACCCCTTCGAACTGTGCTCTTGCTCCCTTTTAGGCCTGTCTGTTGTTTGCCAACTTAAGTTAAAGGTATATTTAAATATTACAGTGCAAATGAAATATTAAATGGAAAATTCTTATTGCTTATTTTCACTACATGTAAAGGAACTTGTAGTGTTTGATATAGGACAGCACACATTTGTGTTATATTTCTTCCCTAATGTGAATATGATCTTGGCGCAGTTATTAAGTGCTTGGCTGCTCACCAAAGGTTTCTGGTTTGAATCACTGTGTGGGAGAAAAATTAGACAGTCTGTTTCTGTAATATTAAAGCCTTGGGAACCCACTAGGGGGCAGTTCTATTGTTTGCTCAGGGCTGCTAAGAGTTGGAGGAAACCTTATGGCAGTGGCTGTTTTGTTATCGTTGTTTTGTTCAATGGCTTTGGTCTTTTCTCAGTAGTCTTCTGTGTGAGCACCATAACAATATATAGAACACCCCTTCAAAGTAAATCATGAATCGTAGTGTCCATTCTGATTTTGTTTCTCTTCTCAACTTAACTTACCCAGCTCTTCCTTTTATGAAGTCACGGCTTATCTTAATACAGTACCTTGAACTTAACATTTTTACGTTTACTTAATGTTTTGTTCAACTACTTTAGTGTTTTCCTTCCTTAATAGCATGCAGAGCTCATGAGAGCAGGAATAATTTCTGTCTTACTTCCCCTTCTCTCCCCAGTGCCTTGTCCCACCCTCGAGGCACGAATTCTCCTCTGGCACTGAAGTCCGCGGTCTTTGTGCCCAAGATAGAGATGCCAGAGCAACTCTGCTTCTCGTGCGATCAGGCCTTAATTCAAGATTCACTCACCCTTCGAGTCTATCAACCTTCTCCCTGTTCCACCTCTAGCAACTTTTGCGTCCCCACCTCCCCAGTCAGTTTTCTGACATTTGAGCTCCTCTTACATAAACGTGACACATCTGGTCCACAATTATATACAGGACATTGTCACATAATAACTGCTTCTTATCACAAAACAGCCCTGGAATGAATAATAGTCAACTGAGCTGCATACAGATTTATGCAATTAGTGCCATTTTGTTTCTTGGAATGGGGTCTGTCATTGTTATTCGTGTTACTGGCAGTGCTTTCTTTCTCTGATCAGATAGCCAAGAAACGGCACAAGGTTATTGGCACTTTTTGGAGTCCTCATGGCCATACCCGACCCCCATCTTCGCTGAAGCATGTTCATTTAATGCCGCTTTTTCAAATTAAGAAGGTGCTGGATATAAGAGAGACAGATGGTATGTTTCTTAAGAAACTATTGCTTATTTAAAATAATTTATATTCATTTAGTGTTTGATTTATTCCCTTAATAGTTTTTTGTTTACTTTTTCAAAACCATCTTGAAATAGAGTTGATCAGTTCGGGAAAAGTAATTGTCCTAATATTTCTGTCCAGCATTTCTCTCTAGGCATAAGCTTGAATTTTAATTTTCCGAATGAAGGTGCTGTCAACATGTATGGCACCTCATTCCTTTAAAGGACAAAGAGCTTTTAAATAGTTTCATGTCAGAATAGTGCTCTAGCGTATCCCCTCACCAAAAATGTTTTTATTCCCTCAAGGTGCTAAAGAATGTGTTTCTTTTTAAGAATGTCTTTTATCTGCACTCTCTAAATTATTCCCATGTTGCATTAAGTGCAGTTCATACAATTGATACATTGAAAATATAGACCAGGAAATAGGGTGTGTGAGGTAAATGAACCCAGAATAACAGTGGTAGACTTGACATGGGATCAAACATACATTAAGGAAAATATTGATTACTTTGTTGTGTTGGGAGGCATCTCTGAAAGACTGAAAAAGCCATATTCATAGCAAAACACTTTCATCTTTTCATTACTCAAGTATGTGTATGTATGGCCAGAATTTGCATAATAAGTATATATTTCTACAATGAAAAGTGATTCCATTATTCATCTCATCCACTAATGATTAAGTACTTTGAATTCATGAGAAGTACTTAAAGAAAATGTAAACATCAACTTATATTACTTTCTACTTGATTGTGAAACAAATCCTGGATTTAGTAATGGCCACATTAATGCTTTTGTTGAAATCATCTACAGTAGGATTTTAACTATTGAAGACTCTTGATTCTTTTTAAAATAGCTTTTGTTTTAGCACCTGGATCACAATTCAGTCTATTTCAAAATTTTAGTATTTGGGTATTTTGTTTCTTTAAATTTAAGTTGGTTGAGCTATTGAATTAAAGTAATTTAAAAATCAAATTCAAGAATTCTAAGATGTGCTATAACGAACATACTGCTTCCATCGTGTCATTAAGTTCTTGTTGATTTGTTACATGGTGCTAGTAACGATTACAAATTTTCCTAATGCCCCAGCTTAATATGTTAACCCTTTGTCTAACTGAAAAGAGGGAGAGTGGACAGCTTGAGAAAATGTCTTTAGGGTTTTGTCATGCTGAGGGATAAGACTTGCATGAATCCGTCATTAATACTGGCTGTGCTTTGCCTGCAACCCTAGATTGCCGTAAAGCTTTTGGCCTGCTTGTGCGGCCTCCCACCGAGCAGGCAAACGTGCTGCTGAGCTTCCAGATGACGTCAGAGGAGCTTCCCAAGGAACGCTGGCTAAAGATGTTGTGTCGACATGTAGCCAACACCATCTGTAAAGCAGATGCAGTAAGTTACTAAATCAGCAGTAACATGAAAGCTTAAAGGGTATAGTAGTGCATTAAAACTAAATTTCTAATGACTTGGTGTTTACGAATATAGGAGAGTTTTGTGTTCTTGGTTTACAGATAGGTCCTTATAGTCTGACAGCTCCTGGATGTGACTCTAATTTTATGAATCTTTGGGGACTTGTCATGTAGCCTGAGATTTTCATTGGTTCTCTTCAACATGACTGTTTTTAAAGTAAAGGAATGTTCCCTTTTATTAAAGTAAGTTGCTTTCTCTACCAGTGTAAGCTGGGACCTGGCCAATATGTTTTTTACACGTCCAACTCCTTAAGATTAAATGCCACGAGAGTATATAATTATCATTATATTATAGAGATTACAGTAAAGATAGTTGAGAAAAATCAAAATACTGAAGTTAAATGAGTGGCCAGAAATCAGGTATGTATTAGGAGTTCTTAGATAATATATAGGTCTTTTTGAAGATAATTTGATTTTTTTTTTAATCCCCATATATGAGAAAGAGACGTGATAGACAGACAGTAGATCCCATTCTCTTTGTTCAAATGATTTAGATTGAAGAGAAGTTATTACTCTACCTGGTGATATACTAGTGGCTGTAACTGAGATTCTGGGTATTCCTATGGGATCAAAACATTTTATCATAGTCTGACCTTGAAAGACATTGGTTTTAAAAGTAGGTAATACTTGATTAAAACTCTTTTAAGTGCTTATAACAAATAACAAAATCTTTTTGTTTGTTTTAAAATATTTTATGGGCAAGGAATGTTATAAATAAGGCATCTGTTACACAAAAAAAGTTTATAAAAGGAAATATTCTAGTGTATATGATAGAATGATGGGTAGACAAATACCCAATACAGCTTTCATTGTAAAGCTTATAAAGTGCCTTATTATATATTTTTTTTCATTTCTAGGTAGGCATATATAAAATAGGCTTCTTTGCAGTTTGATGACTCCTTTTACAGATATTACTCTCCTTTTGTGGGGGTTCAGACTAGCTGGCTTTTGCACTTCTTTTCAAATTATAACTTTAATTATAGAAAGTAAACAGTGGAAGGTTTTCTTCAAAACATACTTCATTAAGCTACTAGCCATAAGGTGACAAATAATCCTAAAAGTCTAGTGTAAATGACTAATAAAAAATTTCATAAAGTAAAACAAACAATTAGCCACACGATGGCAGCAAACATTTGGCTATGCCATGGTTTATACAGCCTTAAACCACAAATTCTTTCAAGCTATTAAAAATCAGATATCCAGTAATTTCAGTTGAGTCTTTTTATGCATTAAAATTCTACGCATTGTAAATTAAATAAGTCCTGAGTCATTTTATTTTTGATAAAATGTTTCCAAATATTCTAGAAATATGAGGGGTCTTCAAAAAGCCCATGTAACAATTCCATTATCTTTTAATTCTATTCTTTACTCAATCTTAAAAACATTTTAAACATTTTTATTAGCATCTAGTCACGTGCCATGTAATTCAATGTTTTAAACATATTAAAAAGAGTTGTACAATCGCCTCTACCATCAGTTTTAGAACATTTTCTTCATTTTTGTATTCATTCTTATTCGCTCTCCATTTTCCCCATTTTTTCCTGCCATAAGATTAAGATACTATTAATCTATTTGATTTTTCTATCCTGGATTTCATATAAAGAAAAACATACTCCCCCAAACCATCCAATAGTAACAAAATAAAAAACAGAAGGCTCAATCTAAAAGAAAACAGAAAATGTTAAAGACCAGAACAAATTTAAAATAAGTCAAAAGGGAGTCCACGTAATAAGATATTAAATGCTAACCTAACCTGCATCTGCATGAGTCCACTTTCCAGTGCACTCCTTAGGATAGCAGGGCTATTCACAAGGTAGCCTGTCCGTGATCAGAGGAGATTCTTCCCAGTCTTAATCCACGTGGGGACATTGCAAATGGATTTTGGGCTTTGGCTGTCATCCATAACCTTCTGTAAGCCGGATGCTCAGAATTTAAACAATGATACAATTCCCTCCTCCACTCTTGGATTTTATTTACAGACTTCAGATCATACAGATCGATGTGCTTCTCACTTCGATGGCTGCTTGTTTTCAGATGAATCTTTAATACCTCAGACATTATTCTTTCTGATAGCTGGGACAATTTCCACACACATTTTGAAGCCCCTTCATACCTGTATAAATGATGTAAAATCCTCTGATTCTTTGAATCAGTAGTTTTTGTCCTCCTACTATATCTTTCCTGGTATCATAATTAAATGGAGTTTATTTTATAAAAAGAACAAAGTAGTTAAAACTTATCATTTGCTTGTACTTGTATGATTTAAGAATTCAGATTTTCACACTAAAAGAAAACTTAATCTAATCTCATTTGACATGTGGTGTGGTAAGGCTAAAAGCTGTGATTGTTTAGTACAGGGTTGAGGATCGTAATCTTGGATCCTTATTTCTAGTCAGAGTTTTGTTGGTTTTTCCTCTCATGTGTAGTTAGCAACAAAATTTTGTTGTTTGAAAATGTAAAGTTCAGACTTAATTTGTTGAAATTTTTCTCTCAAAACATTTTGGTGCCTTGGTTTCAGTGAACACTCCAAGTTTCATTCAGATGATAAGTCCTCACCCCTAATATGCTGAATATTAATTTTATTAACTGCTCACACTCCCGCCTCTATTTGCGTAGTTTAATCTGTCGTTCCCGAGTTGATTCTGATTTAGTGACCTTGCGCTACACAAAAGTACTGCCACAGAATTTTTCTCTGCTGCGAGAGTTGGAATTAACCTGAAACCACCCAACAATAACAATCTTAATGGAAACAGCTCACCCAGCCTTTTTTAAGTGAAGCTGCTGGGTAGGTTCGAATTGTAAGCATTTAGGCATAGTAGCAGATCACAGGCTGCTTTTGTTACCCAGGTATCTTTTTGTACAGTTTGTAAGTACTTATAAGAACACTTACTCATTGTAAGAGTGGTTATGAGTTGAGCTGCTAACTGCAAGGTCAGCAAAAGCAAACAAACCATCAACTGCTCCCTGGAAGACAGATGAGGCTTTCTGCTCATAGAGAGAGTTACAGCTTTTACCGCTGTAAAGCACGACAATCTCTGAATCCACATGGGCCGTTTTACCCTGTCCTAATGGCGGCGAGTTAGTTGTTTAGTTTATTGGCCCTGTCCCACCACTTGTCTGTCACTTTGACGTACTGCGGTGGCTTGTGTGTTGACCTGATGCTGGAAGCCATGTCATTGGCATTTCAAATGCAGTAGAGTCACCCAGAGTCAACAGGCTTCAGCAGAGCTTCCAGACTGAGAACCGACTATGAAGAAAGAATAGGTTTTCCGCTTTGGAGGAATTAGCCGCTGAAAACCTTATGGATGGCAAGAGAACATTGTTAGTTACGAAACCATCACGAAGAGCAGAACATTGTCGGAGATAGTTCCAGAGGATAAGTCCCTCAGGTTGTGAGGCACCCAAAATATGACGGAAGAAGGAATTACCTTCTCAGAGTAGAGGTGACCAAAATGACATAGAGCAGTGTCCTTTTTCAGAGGTACGTAATTCTCTCCTGAGAATAGGCACTTTGGACATGTTATCAAGAGAGACCAGTCCCTCCAAAAGGACACCATGCTTGATAAAGTAGATAGATAGCAAAAAAGAGAAGACCTCTCCTAAATGGACTGACAAAGTAGCCGCAACAATGGGTTCAAGCATCATCGCAATAATGAGGATGGTGCAGGACCAGGCAGTGTTGTACATAGTCGGAACTGACACCATGGCATCTAGCACCATTAATGGAACTGTCAGGTAAGTGTTGGATCATGAGGTTGTTCAGTCCAACAGCCCTCCCACCTCCCCAACCCCCCAGCTGCTGCTCTCTGGAAGACAGATGAGGCCATCCGCTCATGAAAATGTACAGCCTCAGAAACCCAGGGGGTGGAACCAGTCTCCATGAGCTGGAACCAGCTCAGTGACAGTGGGTTAAGGCGGTCTGTGCTTCAGTGCCCTAACTGCTGCTTCTCTTTCTCTTAAAAACCAAATGCCAAAAAAACCCAAAAAACCAAATGCCATAAGTCTTGGTGGAATCTTCACTGGGAATTATGAGTAGCAATAGTAATTCTAAGTTTATAAAGTTATAAGTAGACTTTGTAACAAGAATAATAGACTGAAGGTAGAACACAAAAAGTCTGGAAAAATAGAACTAAAAGAAATTTTATTTCTCAAAATGAACTTCATTGAGTTTTGTGAGTGAGTGATGACATCAACCATTTAGTTCATCCTCTAAATAACTGGGGGCTCTAGGAAATTAACCATGTCAAGACAGTGTTTTTACATTATTAATTGAAGGAAAGTAAATGTCCTTCAAGTATCTTTTAAGATTATGAAACAAAAAGGAGTCAGAAGGAGCCAAATCATGGCTGTAAGATTGATTCCTAATGATTTCCCTGGAAATTCACAAACCCCCTTGTATGATAAAAGGAATATGTAGGAGCATGTTGTGGCGAACGAAGACTAGTGAAACCTTCGCAGGTATTTTTCTGCTAAAGCTTTGGCTCACCATCTCCAAATACAGTTGTTAACTGTTTGTTTTTTGGGTTTTTTTGCCTTCTCCAAAGCCAATGATTAAATACCGTGAACACCCCCAAATGATTGGCATGACCTTTGGTCTTGACTCTCTGGGTCCAGTTTTGCTTTGACTGGGCCACTTTTCCCTCTTCCTAGCCATTGTTTAGATTGTACTTTGCCTTCAGCACACTGGTAAAGCCTTGTTTCCTGTTCTGTTACAGCTTTTCAAAGAAATGGTTTAGGATCTTGACCCAACTTGTGTAAAATTGTCATGGAAAGCTTTTCTCGTGCCTGTAGCTGATCTAGGCACATCAGTTTTGTCCCCCATTGTGCAGCAGTTTGATCAACTTTGCAGTCAGAATTGTGTAAGCAGAACAAATTGAGATGTCTATGGTGTTTTTTTCACCATATGCATTTTTCAGTGGATATTTTGGAGACTTGGGACATGAGAAGAATTCATACTCAGACAATAATATTTTAGATGAAATATGTATTCCCACTGTTATTGAGTCGATTTCAACCTTTTGGACGGGGCAGAAACGCCTTAGAGATCCTGAGAAAAAATCTGTAAAGAGCAGAGCGCTACATCTTTCTCCCAGCAGCAGTTAGTGGATTACATTCCGTTAGCAGCCTGATGATTAATCCAGTGTGCCACCAGGCTTCCTTAGAATGCACAGGAACTTGTTGCTATAACAATAAGTTATTGGTACTACTCAGTTGGCCAAATCACATTTAATTCCCCACTCCCTTTTTCCACTAGTCAGAGTTCATTTAAATTTAAGGGATAGTGGAATATTGGTTTAGCTCATCCCCATTTTGTTATTTTGTAAACAGGAAGGCAATGGAAATCTCTAAGCTAAAACATGATTACAGAACTTAAGATGCTATTTAGCATCTGGGATTTTGAAGGCCATTGTTTGGGACAGGTTAGGAGAAAAACCTGACAACTTACATTCACTTAAGATGTCAGAAATGTTAGAAAATTTTTGTGAATTGATACTCATTAATAGGTCTCAAAATCTGTAGTTGATAAGCACCTTTTCCTAGCCCGTGTACGCAAGTTTTCTTTATCCCATTTCAATTTTTTCGATAACACAAAGAAATCCGAAGACTATTTTCCTTCATTTGCAGAAGCTGTTCAAGAGGCATCAGATTATGCCCTGGCCAGTCAGAGTAGCATTGCCAAGTTCTTTTGCTGGAAACTATACTGTACCTTACTTATACTTCATATGAACTGTGTACTTAAAATGTTATTCCTGATTTTACTGTGTGTTAGGCCTAATTTAGGTCTTGTATATTATTGGTATGATTTAGTAGGTTAACTTTTGGTCTGGGAATGCTCAAGATTTTTTTCTCATTAATTAACAGTAATTGTCTCTTTGTTTCAAGCCATTTTCAGTGTACAGGGAATTTTTATAGGAATGCTCTAATTTCAGATATTTGAGGAGACCTGTATCTTTTGGACAGCATCCTTGGTGATGCAGCAGTTATAAGGTGCTTGCTTGTTAATAAAGGTCAACATTTTAATTCCACTAGCTACTCTGTGGGAGGCAATGTAGTACTCTGTTCCTATAAATATTACAACCTTGGAAACCTTCCTGTACTAGAGGGTTGCTATGAGTTGGAATCGACTCAGTGGCAATTAGGATTTAAAAAATTTCTAATGGGGAGATTATTAATTTACATCTTAACCTAAGTAAAGGCTCAGATTTATCTTCAGGACTGATTTTAAGTTCATGTGTTAGGGGCTAGTAGAAGAATTCCTGCTCCTACTATGCTTGTTTTATGCTTGAGTTACTTCGACCAAATATATCATAAAATGTTTATGAAAGTATAGTAATATGTTATTTAAAGTTAGCTGGGGTTGATAAGTAAACTTCTTTAAAAGGTTGTTTTTTAAAAAATTTTATAACAGACAAGGAATCAGAATATTTTAGGAGGGAGAATAAGAACCATCAATGAGAAATGAGTATAAAAAGAAGCATGCTTTTACTGAAGAGAAATGATCCCTTGTTAAAATATTGCCTATCATCAGCCCTGATTTCTTTTATTTAGGTAGTACTGAAGGAAGTATTTCATCTTTATATCTTATTTTCTTAGTGGCCACTAGTGAGCTTTCTAGATGTTTACTTTCGTCATTCTGAACTCAGGGCCTTCTGGAAATGTAAAAGGTCCCATAACTATCTTTCTATAACTATCCTTTCCTTCTCAGAGTAAAAGCTTGAAGCTGTCTCTTTTCATTTCATCGGCAGTTATTCTCTGCCCACTAGTAGTTGGACAGCAGTGGACTAGCTGAGATGCTCTTCTCCTCTGTGTTAGCAGTGCTTAGGGGTACCTGCGTTATAAAGAGCTTTCACCAAAAGTAAATGTAATAGAAGTTTAGTTTCATCATTTTGTAAATGTTTCACAAAGTGAAATATTATAATGAAATATTCAGAAACCTAGAGTTAGAAAATCAAAAAGCAAGAACCCGTTTAGCATATCTTAAACTGAAAGAGCTGAAGAAAAAATTCAACTCTGAAGTTGCAATATTGAAAGATTCTATAGGCAAACTATTGAATGATGCAGGAAATTCATCAAAAGAAGGTGGAAAGATTATGCAAAGTCAACTGTACCAAAAAGATCTAGTCAACACGCCACCATTTCAGGAGGTAGCATATGTAGTAAAGAAAGAAGTTCAAGCTGCCCTCAAGGATTAGCCAAAAGCAAGGCTCCAGGAATTGGTGGAATACCAACTGAAAAGTTTCAACAAGCTGATGAAGCACTTATTGTCTATGCCAGGAAATTAGGAAAACAGCTATTTGGCCAACTGAATGGAAGAGGTGCAAATGTATACCCACTCTAGAGAAAGATGACCCAACACAGTGCTCGAATTATAGAACCAATATCCTTGATATCAAATTGATCGTCCAACAGCAGTTGCAGCAGTACATTGACAGGAAGCTGCCAAAGTTTCAGGCCAGATTCAGAAGAGGACAGGGAACAAGGGATATCATTGCTGATGTCAGATGGATCTTGGTTGAATCAAAGAATACTGGGAAGATGTTTGCTTGTGTTATCATGTACTAGACAAAGGCATTCAACAGTGAATCATAATACAATTATGGATAGCTTTGGGAAGAATGAGCATTCAGAACAGGTTGATTGTGCTTTTGTAGAAGTTATATGTGGATTAGTAGTCCGTTTGAACAGAACAAAGGGTTTGAAATCAGGAAAGGTGTATGACAGGGTTGTATCCTCTCACCACACTTACTCAATGTTTGCTGAGCAAATCGTGAGAAGCTGGAAATAAATGAAGGAGAATGTGACATCATGATTGGAGGAAGGCTTATTAACAGTCTGCTATGTGCAGATGACACAACCTTGCTGAAAGTGAGGAGGACTTGAAGCACTTGCTGATGAAGATCAAGGATTGCAGCCATCAGTATGGATTACTACAACTAATTGTCAAGAATCCTCACAACTGGACCAAGAGGTAAGTAACGTCAATGTAAATGGAGGAAAGGTTGAAGTTGTCAAAGTTTTTGTCTTGCTTGCTTGGATCCCCAATCAGTGCTCATGGAAGCAACTGTTAAGACACCAAAAGATGTGTTGCATTAGATAAATCTGCTGCACAAGACCTTTTTAGAGTATTGAAAAGCACGGATGTTATTTTGAGGATTAAGCTGTGCCTGTCCCAAGTCATGTTATTTACCATTGCTACATATGCATGTGAAAGTTGGACATTGAATAAGGAGGACCAAAGAAGAATTGATCCTTTGAATTGTGGTGCTGGAGAAGAATATTGAAACAATCATGGTCTGCTAAAACGACAAACTGTTCTCTCTTGAAGACATATGGCCAGAGTGCTCCTTAGAAGTAAGTGTGGTGAGACACTGTCGTACATACTTTGGACCTGTTCTTAGGAGAGACTGGTCCCTGGAGAAGGACATCGTGTTCAGTAGAGTAGAGGGAAGACCCTCCAGGCGATAGATTGACATGGGCACCATGGCTACAACAGTGAGCTGAAGCCAGGCACAAATATGAGAATGGCGCAGGACTGAGCATTGTTTAGTTATGTTTTGCATAGAATAGAAATAACATCAACCATATGTACAAGGGGCTTTCGAAAATTAGTCGGAAAATTCCATTATCTTGTAATTGTGTTTTTTTAATGAACTTTTTGAAGCCCCTTTGTGTATCGATTTTTAAGAGGGCTGATTTAGAAACAATTGTGTGTGTTTGCTTGATATTTATTTATTTATTAAAGGTATTTATTTGCTTTTTAAACAGGAGAATCTAATTTATACTGCTGATCCAGAATCCTTTGAAGTAAATACCAAAGATATGGACAGTACACTGAGTAGAGCATCTAGAGCAATAAAAAAGACTTCCAAAAGGGTGAGATGTCAGTGAAATTTTCTAAATGTGCTTTTTTAAATAAAATAATGTTATCGCTAACATCAGTGGAACATAGACTATGGCCTCTGTAGAGACAGTAGTTTGAGTTTGTTTTCAGTTGCCAAACATAACTCCCTATCGTTCCCAATTATAGTGATGCTTTTATGAACTGTGCTTCAATAGAAATCGCTTGTTTGTATTTTAGCTCTAACAATGAATGTGTGCATTTATCTTAAACATTGCCTGATAGTTGCTTCAGAGGACAAATAGCTAGAGGGAAGTATATCGTAGTCTTCTAATGATCAAGGTCACTTCAAGTTGTTGAGGACTACTTGAGAATGTTGCTGGTGATGGGATTTATAAAAAGTAGACCCCAAATTTTAGTGTTCCAAGGGAAATTTGCAGTCATGTTGTCTGTTAGGTTTACACATTTTATTGTTGTTTTCTTTTCTTGCCCTTTGAGAAAACTTCTTGTACTTTATTCATCTCTGATTCCCTCATTACTTAACATTTGATGCCAAGTAGATACATGTTAAATGGTGACTCCAATGAACCGAGCAAGACTCATAGGTGGGCTGTGGCAGAATCAGCTAAGAACTCAGATTTCTTCTCTGCTAGGCCAGGTTTTCTTTACATTTTCATTCTCCCAGATGGACTAGCAGGCTTTCTAAATTCAAGATGGACTAATCTACAATATGTCACATTTTCTTACTGTGTTGTGCCATGTACTATTTGTAGAAAAACTTTTGTGGTTGTATTGTTGGCTCTTCGTTTCATGTAAACAATCTTATTAGCAATATCCAGTTGATCTAGGCATAATTAATTCTGCTCTTTAAAAATGTAGGTCACAAGAGCATTCTCTTTCTCCAAAACGCCAAAAAGAGCTCTTCGAATGGCTCTTATGACAGCTCATAGTTCCGCGGAGGGAAGAAGCCCTTCGAGTGGTGACAAGCATGTAGTGAGTCGTCTGGCCAGCACATCATCGTTAGCCGTAAGTGACTTTGATTTAATACGCTAAATGACTTCATCAGGTTTAACAGTTGGTGTACACTTTATCTTTTAATGATGCTCTCATTTTTTAGATTTCTGTTCTCTATTGGAGAAAGGTAACTGAGAAAACCTCACAGTTAGTGACACTTTCAGTGTGTTCATTTGTTACAAAATTTTGTTGGGATTTGTGAAATGTTTAAAAATCTCTAAGAAGTATTGGTCCGTCTGGTGTATTGCCTAATGAAAACAGCGATCGTTCTGTTTATGCAGATTGGTTTCCATGAATAGATTATGGTCTCTGTAAAACGATGTGGGCTTTAAATTTTTGTGTATGTTTTCTCAACAATTCACATAGTCCCAGTGGGATAATAATTATTCAAAATCCCTGAAGTTCATTATCACAAAGTATGAGTAATATATCTGCTCTTTGTAAAGTATTAATCTAATCTTACTAAGGATAAGGAAAGTCAGTGACTCACTTTTTAAGATCTGTACCCTTGGGGAAGTTTCTTGTTCTCTCAGCTCCACTTTTGAACTGATTGAAAATGGTTAATGGTACTTACCCAGAGTGCCCAAACACTGACTTGATGGAGAGCACGTGTGAATGATGTGGTGATGTACTGAAGCAGTTTGGGAAATGGTTGAGAGCCCCTGGAACCAAAGCCTTCAAATCATGGTTTTGTAATTTGACCAGTTAATTAAACTTTTTCTTGCTTTAATTTCACTGTCTATAAAATTAGTGTAAAGTAGTTTTGTAAGAATTAAAAGAGTACAACTCTTTTTAATATGACTGAACTATAGAAGTATATGATATGTCCATTATATATGTCAATAAGATTATTTTTTAAAGTAATTAAATTAGTAAATGTAAAAACTCTTTGAACAATACTGGACACATAGTAAGTGTTCTAGTGTTTTCTTTTTATTATAAAAATTTTATTAAGGTATAAAATACTCCGTAAAAAATTATCTAAAGGGAAGGTAATGTCTATGGTTAACATATCAAGAAGTTATCACTAGGTGTATTAGAGTATATTTTCATGTCTTTTAACTGGTAATTTAAGTACATGCAAAACAATTTGATCAATTAAAATGATAAAATTAGGTAAGCATTCATTTGTAAAAATTGGATTATAAGGTTTCTGGAGGCTCAATACCATCCCGTGTTTGTTTTCTTCATCTATAATAACATTGTAAACTGCTTTTCAAATGAAGGGAAATGGATTTTTAAGAAAAATTTTAAAAGACAAATTTGAATTAGTAATGATTGTATCATTTTAATGTAGACATACATAAGAAGTATCTAAAACATCTTAAGACATTCATGGCTTCTCAATTGCTTGTTTCTGTTCTAACAGATTATTCATTCTGTTTCCACAGCAATGGAGTCAGATTTACTAATAAACATGTTATGCTCCTTGCTCAAACTCAACCGGCAGGCACTTTCTAAACTCCTGCTCTCGATCTAGACATCATCCTGCCTCCCAAAGTAGCTTAATCAAGCTTCTAGAAGGAAATACTGATTTATCAAATTCCAGAAAAGGTTCTATTCAAGTCAGCTTTGGCATTTGTGAAGATTTAGGAAATAAACAAGCCTCATGAAATTGAATGTGAGCTTACCAGCTATCTGAAATTTATGTTTCCAACTGAATCACTCGCTCGATGGGCAGGGAGTTTTCGATTCACAGCTTTTAAAAACTGCTTTTAATTTACAGCAGCTTACACTTAGTACAGTTACTTTGCATATTCACATAGGTAGAAAATATTTTTGCAAGGTAATTGCTCTTAAGTCCATCTACAATTGCATTAGGGATTTTCTTATTTATGAAATTGATTTTTTTAAATAACAGTCATGAAAATTGGGTTTATCTTCCAAATCTGATTCTTCTTCCTCTTAGATGTGTGGCATTTATATAAAACTAATACTTTTAATATGATAAATCAAAAAACGTGTACCTCAGGAAAATATAATATTTTACACCATCTGTTTAAATCAAAGCTTTATTAGTACTTAAATGATAATACCTTACTAACCCAGTTTTTAAAACACTATTTTACTACTTTGTTGAGAATTTAGAGCCAATTACTTTTCCAGTTAGCCATTTTTGCACATTAAAATAGAACAGGAACTTCATAAGTCATTTTAGTTTGTATCTTCTCTTGGGCTTTGCGATATTTTCTTATGTTTTATGGTTACAGTCATTACAAAATTCTGATACTAGTTAACATTGTCCTCTGAAGCAGTTAGATAGCTTAGCACTTTCATAGAAGCGCTGCTATGTTGCTCACATTTCATATAGAGCACATTTACTATGTACATTGACATACATAATGCAAAAATGGTTTTATGACTTACAGTTTTAGGAAATTCTTTCCTATGAACTGATTTATTTATTCTTGATTTTGCCTCTTGATTGAGTTAAGAAGACTCTCCCAAAGCTGATTTCTTCATCTCAGAAAAATGTCCACTAATTTATTACTGTATTTTTATAATCTAAAACATGGAATCATTAATATCACACAGAAGAAAGTTCACTAATATCCATTCTGAAAAACTTATTAAGCCTAATGTTAAGTTTGTATTTAGTTAACTAAGCTATAGTCATTGTTTTTGTTTTCATAATGTTAAAGTAGGCTTTGAATTGTTTTTTGCTCCATTCCACTCCCCTAATTTTAAATTGATTCATTTCTTTAACCGGTTTAGAAGTTCAGATGTCTTTTAACTATTGTGGTAATTTATAAAATGTAAAAGTGAGTTGAAAAGTGCTCAACTCTATGCTAATTTTTTTTTAAAGGAAAACTTTGGAATATTTTGTTTTCACAGGGTGTCCCATCTCCCTCCCTTGTCAGCCTTCCAGCCTTCTTTGAAAGGAGAAGTCATACTTTAAGTAGATCTACAACTCATTTGATATGACGCTTAAGAACTTTATATTATAGAAACTTAAAAATACCTCTTCCACCACAAGAAACTGACTTAAATGGTACTTGTCATTAGCACTTGGCAAAAGTTGGAAAGAAGATAAGTAACACTAAACTCTATGCTGTTTGATTTTCTTTTAGTGAAGTAATGTTTGATTTTGATGTAACTTATTTCTTTGCTCGAAGCCCTCCGATGAGCATCAGCGATTTAAGTTACGCAGTGGTTTTGGTATCCCTGATATAGCTAATAGCTTTTATTGGTGGGTACTAACTGCTGTTCTGAGTCTATGTGTTTTTTGCCCATGAAAGAATCTGTGGAAGTACATATTTGTGTATCTCAATTTGTGCAGATGGTAGATGATATAAAACTCAATGGATTAAAAACCTGCATAGATTCCAGATTAAATAGTAGAGCCTCATTTCACATGTGGTATTTGTATCAGTTATTTAATAGCTCTTTTTGCCTAGTTTATTTTCTTCTCACTTGTTTTCAAGATCTAGCATGTGAATTTGAAAAGCTTTACTCACGTTAACAAGGAAAACAGTTAAATGTGGTTCTTTTAAAATACTTTATGATTTTAGATAAGGACAGAAAGATGAAAAATTTTGTATATTTTGCACAAATTATATTGATACATATTTGTAGCTTTTTCCAAGACTTTAATGTATTTATGGGGATTTTTTAGGCATTAGCAAATCTTTATTTCGTTTGGTGGGTGGTATGTGGAATTTTATTTTGAAGGATAAGTTGTAGTGAAAATTCTTTATGTCCTCTATGAAATAACTCTATAGTTGCCATCAATTTCACCAGAATGCACAGATTTGTATGATCGGCTTTGTTTTGTCACCTTATAAATGAATGTAAAATTGAAGTACATTTATGTGCTGTTGTAAAATATTTTTCCAGCCCTGAAGTTTTTATTCACAATAGTCTTTTTTTCTCTTAGTACAAAATAATTAAGTTTCTATGAATAAATGCTTTTTAACTTTTACTGTTTAAGGAATAGCGCAAAAGTTTAATTGCCATTTAACAATCCTCAATTACCTGTGTTAAGGGTTTAGCTGACTAGATAAAGTTTTTCTACGCCATGTGTGTATCACTTTTGAGGATAGGAAATGATCCTTTATTGCTGCATTTTAAAAGCATTTGTATTCATAAGAACTTTGTAAATAAAAAACTCAAGACTTAAAGATATTTTGTGTCTCGTATTTTAATTTTTCACACGTTTATTTTAACAGGCTTATCTAAACACCCGCATCAACCCCTGATGTGTACTTGCTTGTTTCTTTTAATGTTGTTGAGCTTTTTGTACACCAGTCTACCTATAAAGTAGGAGATCTTAATCTAAAATCTACTTTGTAGAATAGAATGGAGATTGTGTGTGTGTGTAGGTGGATAAAATTTTGGGCATATGTGCGTGCATGCATTTTTTCCTGGTAGAAATGACATAGCTGGTATTATTTTGGTCAGGTTGGAATATTTACTGCTCCAAAAAGAGGCCTTCCAGATAGAGGAAATATTATGAGAGAAGTCATAAAGATGGGAAAATCTTGGAGGTACACTAGCAACAGTCATTAATGTTAATGTGACTGCTGCTAATTTTTATCATTAATTATATCTACTTTGGGTTTTTGGTATGTCCCTGTTCCCAGTTGAAAACAATTTTAAATCAGTTTTTCTTCTGTTAAGATGTTTTATCATATATAAATTTTAAAAATAATGAACTTTTCCTCCTCTTTGAGATAATTGTGTTTTATTCATCTAAAATCTGATGGATTCGATTAATAAACTAATGTTAGTTCACTTTAAATTGTCAATACACCCTACTTACGTCACGATGCTTTGGATATAGAACACAGTTAACACATACCAGAAAATGTTCAACTCCTTCCGGGTTTAACTCTGGAAGAACTAGGCGATCTAGCCAAAGTTGACTCAAGAATAAGAAGACAATGGTAATGGTCGGATTAACAGGGTGAGTGGGAAAGTTGAATAAATAGTATTTAAGAAGACATGAATTCCATGTAATTTTAAAGCCAAGTTTCAGTATTTAGAGAATAGTCGATGAGTCACAATTTTATACCTTACATATTTTTTAAAAGATTGGCAGCTATCTAGTTCCTTTCATGACACCAGCGTACAATTATGTGTTAGTTTGGGTACTTTAGAGAAACAAATCCACAGAAACTCATGGATAAGAGAGAGTTTTATATAAAGGTTAAGTGCACATCAACGAAACATCCTAACCCAGTGCTGCCCAAGCCCACAAGTCCAACATTAGTCCAACACCAGTCCACAAAGTCCTCCTCCATCTCACAAAACACACGCAATGAGGCCGACTGCAGGAGGAAAGCCGAGTCAATGAATGTGTAAACATCTCAGTGCTGGCAGGGGTCTCCACACGGCTGCTCCAGCACCCAGGGCTACATCGGGGTAGGTCCATGTGACTTCTCCTCAGGGAAAGTTGCAGGAAGTGGCCTTGCCAGCTGAAGCAGCTGCACCCTGGTCCGACCATCAGAAAGCAAGAGACCCGAGATCTAGAAAAGCGAGGCTCACTGAGCCATTTATCCCTCTGCCCTTCAATTAATCCCACGTGTTTATCAGCCAAGTTGGCACAATAAACTAACTCAACTTAGTAGTAGCAATCTTAAAGGATGGTGTAAGGAACAATTGTATTGAGTTTCAATTATGGATATAGAAACAAAGTATTCCAAATATTAACAATTTAAATCTAGAAGTACTGTTTTAAAAAATACAGCCCATTCAAGTATATAATCATTAGATTGATTTATAGCTAGACTCATTTTGAACTGATATAAAGATTGTGGTAAATAGAATGTACCTTCTGTGACTAAAGGGAGAATTAGTTGTGTACCATCAAGCATGATGACAGGATATAGTATGGCACATTAAACTCAAACCTGCTAACTTCTCATCTGTTATTTCCGTCTCCTCAGACTACACGTGTGATGTAAGTGTATTTCTTAACCGAGTGCCAGGAGAGCAGAAAAGAGGTTGGTTTTCAGATGGCTCCAGTATTGCGGCTAATGAACTTTCTGAACTGGTTAAGGGCTTTTCATTACAAAAGTGTGCTTCTAAAAATACAAGGGTGATTCGACATTAGGAAATTAATGAGCAAGACATTTAAAAGAGAAAAAGTATATGCTTTATCAGTAAGTTACAAAGGTCATTTAGTAAAACACGCTCTTTTCTTAAAAATTCTAAGGACAACATGATTGACTGAGCTTATAAAACATTCATGGCAGATGCCCTGATAACAGAAACAATATATGTTTTTTATAAATGAAATATTTCCCCAACGTATTTTTAATACAGAACTGATGTTAAGAGAAAACTAAAACACCAGGTGTGACAGAGTGAGAGAAATAGCTGAAGAGTACACCCCTGCTTCATCACAATGGAGATGAAGGAGATAGTACTTTGGGGGACTGTTGAAGACTGGATCTTGAATTAATCCCCCTTATAGATAATAAAACCTGAAACACTAGCCATAACTATTAGAAATGACAAGGTATCTGGAAAATTTCTGTTTTTTTGTTTTTTTTATAAAGCCTGGTTGAAAAGATTTAAAATCAAAAGAAGCCATGAAAAGAGTAAACAGATGTAACTGATAGAATTTGTACTCTGTGTCTAGAAACAATGGACCAATTAAAAGAAGTTTTATCTAAGAAAATCCTTGGCTGATGGGAAAGCAAGATAAAAGAACAATAACTGGGTTTGGAATGGAACTAAATTGAGCTTTAGAATTAAAATTGACAGCAGAGAAGAAAATTAGTGCACTGGAAGATAAATTGGTGAAAATCATTCAGAAAACTTCACGGATTAAGAGATGCCAAGTACTCGTGTTTGAGATGTAAAACAAAAAACAACATAAACCTTGCAATATGTCTGAGAAGAACTTAAAGCTATGGAAGGGGATATTTGAAGAGATAATAGCTGAGAGTTTCCTAAAATTGTAGAACTGCATGGAATTTATAATTTAGCAAGCACGTCAAGTACCGAGCAGGATCAAAAATTTGTCAGAACACACTTGTTGGGTACTGATGCTGGCAAGTAGGTTCCTACTCGTAGCAACCCTATGTGATACAATGAAGCACTGCCTGTCCTGTGGCACTGCCCACTTGTTCACCGTGTGGAGCCCATTGTTGTAGCCATTGCATCAGTCCATCTGATTAAAGTCTTCCTCTTTTCCCCCACCCTTCTACTTTTCCTGGGGCTGGTCTCTCCTTATAACATGTCCAGAGTACACGAGATGAACTCTCACCATTGTTTCTAAGGAGCATCCTGGCTGTACTTCTTCCAAGACAGATTTGTTTTAGCAGTGCATTGTCCTTTCAGTACAGCAGTATTGAAATGCATCGATCTGCTTTAACTGATTCAGGGTCCAACTCTCACATGCATAGGAGATGATTGGAAATGCTTATGGCTTGAGTCTGGTAGACTTCTCAAAGTACATTTTTGCTTTTCAACACTTTAAAGAGGTCTTATGCAGCAGGTTTACCCACAGCAATATGTACGTCATATGTTTTCTTGCCTGCTGCCTCTATGAGCATTGACTGTGGATTCATGAAATCCTTGACAGCATCAAGCTTCTCCCCGTTTGTCATGATGTCATCTACTGGTCCAGTTGTGCGAAGTGAACAGTTCATACTGAAGCCTGCAGTCTCTGTTCTTCATCTGGAGGTGCTTCAAGTCCTCTTTCAGCAAGCAAGGCTGTGCCACTTGCATGTGGCAGGTTGTTAATAAACCTCTCTGGTCCTGATTCTGCATTCTTCATGTAGTCTAGCTTCTCATTTGCTCAGCGTACACATCAGTGAAATACAGTGAAAGGATACAACTGGTCCATTACCTTTCCTGATTTTAAACCATTCAGAACATGGTAGCGACGGAGAAAAATAGCGAGGTCTGACATGTTTGTGAATAAAAGACTCAATGTCAAAGATGCTAATTGTCTCCAGACATGACTTTTAAAGGTAATGAAAGTCCAACTCAAAGCTTAGGTGGATTTTTTTTTTTTTGGGTAACTTGATAAAAAAGACCACTATCAACCAATCTGATTTTTTAAAAGCAAGAGTGTGTGAAGATGCTATGTAAATAGTGACTGTTCAATGACCCTGATACGATTTAATGGATGGAGTATTGAATTTTGACTTGTATGACATGTAAATATGTGCCAATAAAACTGTTGGGGGGGGGGGG